CCGAGCGCACACGTGGCGCTTAGATATCGCTGCGGGCGGAAGCAAATCACACACACACACACACACAACCCACCCACCCACACACGTACGCGCGCGTATTAGGCTCACGCCTGGGCGGACGCCGACGCGGGGAAACGCGATACTCGCGAGCGAGCGAACGAGCGAGCAAGCGAGCGAAAATGCGGAAACCTGGCGGTCCGCCAATTTCTACGACATCCAAACGACCGGCCGTGTTTGCGAGGACTTTGCTCCTCCGGAGTTCCCTGACTTTGTCCGTTCCGCGCGCGCACCGGCGAAACTGCACACCATCGAGTCCTTGGGGAACGGGAAATCACGTTAATCGCCTTGCGCCAGGTAAACAGCGAGTTGTGAGGAGGAGGGGGGGGGAGAAGGTGAAAGCAATTAGAGGACTGTGGCAATTGCGAACGAAGATGATAGGGGAGATTGCGATAACTTTGGCCCCCCGAAATGGAAGTCGCTTTCGAATGCATTTTTAACAAGGAGCATGGAAAAACTAGTCAGAAAAATTTATTATCAATATCAATATTTATACGAGAAAAATAATAAAAAATAATTCTATAATCAATGTTTGTCACTGTTAATGAGGATAATAACTGTAAAGGCACACATATATTTTTATGTATATTGTGTAAAAAAATTATGTTCTGCTTGCAAAAGTAAAATAAAATAATCTATAACTGCCAAGAATGTGTTTTATCGATTTCTGAAAAGCGGATTTTTAATATCTCCGTTTGTGATTTTTAGCACACGTTATCTTGAGGACCTTGTTAATCTTTTCAGTACCAGTTATTTTTATGTGATATATTGTAGACTCATCTATTTAGTAGGGCGAAGATTTAAAAGGTATATTCCTAATACTTGTTTATGAGCTGAAATTTTTTTTCCTCCGTTTTCCGTTTGTAGTTGTTATTTTGATGGCTGTTGGTCGGAGAATTTTTTTACTATTTTTTCCATATTTCTCGTTAAAAACTTCTCCGAAAATCACTTATATTTCGAGAGACCAAAGTTATCATAATCGTGCCGGATGACATTTCGAGGTCCGCGTCTAATCATTTTCAAGCCAATCGTATGCGACGAGTGAGTTATTTGAACCGTGACGTTCGGAAAGTATTCTCTTTTGTGCTTTCTCTCTCCCTCTCTCTTTCCTCTTAGGTTACACACGACAATACAGATACACAAGTTTCAAAAGCTGGTAGAGACACGCGTATTCCCGCGATGCTCAATTGGTAAAATAGATACGCATGCCACGCGTGAAAATATTCTGCAGTGACAACTAGAAGTTTTCTGTTGCAATAACGGAAAATTCTGTTACACATATCGAAGAACCGCCCACTGTTTTGGCTCGAAGGAAATTTTCCGTCTTGAAAATATAGTTGCCGCAGCACTATATTTTATTACTGTTCGGCTACTCCCGCAGAAGGTGTGCTACAGGCCTGTTCCGAAATCGGAAATTTTGGTTTTGATTTTATTTACAAGGGGAGGATCAAAAGTGGAAATGCGGTTCGCTGCAATAGATGGTTCTTCATGTCAATATTAAAAATCCGAACCATTGGCATCAAACCCCACTTATTTCTTTTACAAATTAACCCTTTAACTACTGAGATATTAAATGACCAGTATGACCCTCTTTGCTGAGTTATTTTTACAATTATAAAATATTTTATAATGATAAGAGATGGCACTATATGCCCGCTCAATTCAAATGCTTTTTACAAACTAAATTAAATGGGTATTACACATTGAAAGTCTAAATCGAGTAAACTCGATCGTAGCAAGGCCGCCATTTTTTTCCACACTTGAGTTATCTCGACCGTAGCAGTTAAAGGGTTAAAATAAAAAAATATGAAAATGTTGGAAATGGATCAATAATTTTAGCTGCTATTTTATTAAAAATAGGAAGATATGGATTATTGCGCATTATTATAATCTTTTATGGGGAGATAATTTATTTTAATAATTTAATTATTAGAGTTGGGTTAATTGGAAGATTTATTGTTGGACTTATTTGTTTGATTCAGATTGATACAAAAAGATTAGTTGCACATTCATTCGTAACTGATCAGCTGATCAATTACGGAAATGAGTTGGTTTAAGCCAACTTTACAACTAACAAGAGGTGCTTTTGGAATGCGATTTGCTGCAATAGATAGTCCTTCATGTCCATATGTTAAGAATCCCAAACATTAACCTCTTATTTATTTTACAAACTAAAAATAAACTTGAAAATGTTGATGTCATCGACCAATAAATTTCAAGGAAAGGAGGAAAAAGTTAAGCGGAAAATGTTCCAAGAGGTAGTATCGAATCCATATCGCCTCATTACTACCGCATCTACTGCCCAATGTGCTGTTGAAGTTCTTGTGATAGCGTACTTAATCGAAACTCTACTTATGTGCCCTGAGGAGCACCGGCGGAGAGGTCAGTTTTTATAAAAATTACTGGTCGTGGAACATTTTGCTGCTCAACTTTTTTCTCCCTTCCTTGAAATCTATCGCGCTGCCAAGCGCGTTAAGGTTAATCTATCCGATGACATCAACATTTTCAAGTTTTTTTAATCTATAAAAAAAATAAAAGATTAATGTTTGAGATTCTTAACATGAATATGAACTTAACATATGAACATGAAGAACTATCTATTATTGCAGCAAATACCGCGTTCCAAAAGCGCGTTTCCACTGGTCCTCCGCTTGTTAGTTGCAAGGTTGAGTTAAACTAACTCAGATACGTTCCACAACTGATTTAACAGCTAACAAGATAACAATGATCAAGCTGATCAGTTATTAAGAAAACAAGTAAACAAATTTATTCACTTCTCTATTTGGTATTACAAAATAAATAGCTAAAGTCAAGTTTGTGAACAGAAACAGTGCATGGCTGTAGACGTCCAAATGCGATCAGCTAGTTCAAGGCTTACCAACCTTGTAACTAACATCAAAGTTTCCGAAACTGTTTTCGGAGCACGCTTCGTATTGCATATGTAAAGAGAAACGAAATCCCGCGACCGAAAAGATTCGTTCGTAGAAGTTGAATGACATTGCCCGTAATGCGATCTTCAATCCGGTCGCACGAGTGTTTTCCTTCTGCACATACGTACACAAGGACGCTCCATTTATCCTTGTGAAGGACGAAACTTATATCCACGACAACATTATTAATGTTCGGTTCAAGAGACGGAATTTGTTTCTGGAACAACAGAAATCTAACGGAATTTCTGCTGTGTTACAACCGGATTTTCAATCAAGAAGCGGAAGGTTTCGGTGTCGTAACTGGAATTCAGTTCCGCCATTCAGTTGAATCGTCAACCGAACAGTTTTCTGCGTGTAGCGTGACGACGTAGCCAGCGGTTATGCGGTAATTAGCGGCGAGAAGAAGAATCGGCGAATATATCCGAGTGGAGTCGAATGATCCTTACACAACTTCTGCATTCACCAAATGCAGCGGCTTTCTCTATCTCCCTCTCTCTCCCCCCCCCTCTTTTTCTCTAACCGAATCTAGGGATCAGATAGCCACAGTTAACGCCAATCGATAGGGGAGTTACCCGAATGCGGGCCTGACTTTTATCGCTTTCCACGCGGAGGTCCGCCCGCCCTGATAACAGCCGCGTGATTAACGCGTCGTTAAAAAAAAAAAGGAAAAAGACCAAAAGAAACAAGAGAAAAGAAAAACGGCGGCAATCGGCGGCGGCGAGTCGACGGGGCATTCGACGTGCATTGTCGAGTTATCGTAATGAACGAGCGAAGCGATAAATCTCGCGGCGCGGCCGATCCCGGCGGCAGAACGGAGGGGAGGGGGGAGGAGGCAGGATACCAATGGGAGGGGGCGCAACAGATGAGTGCGGCGGTCTTCGATTACGATATTGGATCCAACGATCCGACGGCCGCGCAACTATTGACCTTCCCCGCATTCCTCGTTTTCCGCATTCCGCCGGGCGCGTCTTCAGGGTCAGGAACTTTCTCGCGACCGACTCGCTCCGCCTGTTAAAAACTCGCGACGCCTTTGGGGAAGAGCGCGCGGCTCTCTTCCTCGGGGGACCGGGTCCGACTCCGGCTCGCAGTTTCACGTCTGCAACTGGATTGCAGACGCGACTCGCCGGCGCGGCGGCTGGCCGAAGACGCGCCCCGGCTGACTCGGCGACTCGCGCCAACCGAGAGAAAGGTCGGACCGGTTAAGCGACCTCTAATCGCCTACTTAGACGGCGATCGCGCGCGCCGAGTCCTTGAGAGCGTCGCACTCCGGGAGAATTGAGCATGGACGTCGGCAATAGGAGCTAATTATCCCGCCGACTAATTATCGCCCGTGGAGAACAGTGTCGTGAGAACAACGGCCGACGCGACCGCCTCCGGCGGAGCGCGCCGGTCTCGCCACGAGAATCGACGCGGAGCGCGCTCGCCTGCTGTTGATGGGCTCGTTCTTTCTCGGAGTTGACTGATGCACGCTTTTGGAAGCCGCGGAGCAACGGAGTCGAGGCTCGCTGAAAGAGAGAGAAAGAGAGAGAGAGAGGGGGGAGAGGGAAAGAGAGGGGGGGAGAGAGAGAGAGAGAGAGAGAGAGAGAGAGAGAGAGAGAGAAAGAGAGGACTGCTGCAAAGCGGTGCAGCGCGAAGAGTTCTTCGAAGAAGGACAAACCTCAGGTATCATCTCGCTTGTTCCGAGCTGTTCTATCATCCGCCTTAACCTCGCCCAAGGACGACACACCAGCTCGGAAATCAAAGGATCTGATATCGCATGCGTGCGTGTACTCGCGCAAGCATGGGAATTCAAATCCGACGGGACGTCAGTCGTCGTCGCGCGATTCCCGGCGGATTCCGCCGCTTCTCTCGCGGCTGCCAGCGTTCCTCGAGGGGTACGATCCTTGTCTGTCAAAGACACGCGAAGAACGACCCGTTCGACGGTGGTGCCGGGATGCCGGAATTCCGCCGAATCGTCGCGCCTGTCCCCGGCGACGACGCGCTCAGATTTTCGCTCCAGCCGTCTTAACCTGCCTTACTCACCGACGGTGATTCCTCGCCACGACGGCGGCAACGGCAGCAGCGGCAGCAGCGGTGGCAGCGGCGGCGGCGGCGGGTCCGATGGCTGTGGTGGTATCCCTCCGAAGATCCGGGGAACTAACCAAGAAATCCACGTATCCACGTGTTGCGGGACGTAACCAGACACGACACTGTGTTAACACTCACGGAGCACGCGACGTCGCGCGACCCGCTGACACGTACAGCGCGCGATTTCACAGCAATGGAATCTCGTCACGTCGCTCACGCGTTTCCTCAGCGTACGGTACCGTGAGCGCTCATATTGCTACTCTGCCGAGTGAATTACCAACTTCCCTCTCTGGCTCGCAGCGCTGGGCGTGGTTTAGCGCCGAGGACAGCCGAGCGCACGCGGCCGCTCACGAAGCGCGCGTTGCGCGCTTATTGGCGAGATCGCGCGGAGCCCGCGACAACCCAACGGCATACGCCAATGCGCGTCGTCGTCGAGGCATTAAATCGTTCGCTCTGAGCGCGAGGGAATGTAAGCACCGATTCGACTCGGAGATGCCTGACTTCAGACGCGAGTTACATACGTACGTTAGAATGATGATATTGCCAACTGGCAAGCAAAATAGGGAAAGACGGAGAAAATGATTTCCAATTATTTGGGAAAGAGGAGTTGATATGTGAAGTATAACGAATGAGATATAATTGCGCTAAACATTATGTGTTACAGTAATTTCTAATTATTACATCAATTTTCCAGGTGTATTTTCACGATAACAATTTTGAAGGAAATAGAAATTGTCTTGTTCATATGAAACATTAAATTATTTAGCAAACTTCACTATTCATTTTTTTTTATAAAAAGAAGGTACTAATTTAGCCAAAGCTGCTATTAACAGTAGCAGAAGTGTTACAGTGAAAATGTATGTAAACAATATAAAATGTTCAAAATACGAAACTGATTAACAACATAGAGTTTTAAGATTTCTGGTTCTTCATCGAGGAAGTCGTCAGTAATGACATGTCTAAAACGAGAAAAAGCATATTCAAAATTCTTGCGTAATATTTCTAATAAAAAAACAGTTATATAAAAAATATTTCAGATCACTTGAGCGTATTTGCGTGAAATGCTCCGAAAAAGCTATTCTTTCTTTTTAATAGTCAATATAAGTTGCATAATCTTTTTATCATTCTTTTATTTAATTTTTAAGTAAGTTATGACTATTTATTGGCTTTTCCAAAGCAAAAAAATACTTTCCGAAGTATTTTATAAATATACTCAAGCGATTTAATGTGTTCTTTCATTCAAATATTTTTTTATTTGATAATGATATAAAAGAATTTTTAGCATGTTATTTCTCGTCCCTGACGTCACGATCCGCATGATCACGGCGTGTTTCCAAAAGTTTTAATTATCTTTCTTCATTTATAAAATATATAAATACAAATTTGTAAGTTTTGAAAGTACCGCATATTTGTGGAACTAAAATGGCGTCTGATACTTGCAACACTTTAGGCCCGTTCGTTTTGTTTGCACTGCTGAACTGGTGCAACAAGTTAGAGTGAGAAAACCTATGTTTGTCTCACTTTAACTTATTGCACTACTTCAGCAGACAAAACGAACAGGCCTATTGGTTGCGTTCCGATATTCGCTGCCAGTATTGAAAATACATAGTTTGTATGACCTATCCTATAGATTTTCAGTGCTGGCAGTGAATATCGGAACGCAGCCGTCCTATCTTACGCCGAAATTGTCACGCATGCGCGTCCACGGCCTATCTACTTTTCCATCACGTGCCGACGTTTTCTCAGCTTGTCGCAATATGCATATGGAGACATATTATTTCTGCTCGTCTCGGATTTATCCGGAACATGGCATTCCATCCATGAGGAATGAATGCAAGATGAGTAATATTATTAATTTAATGCGAACAATGAATTTGAGAAACTTGGAGAAAATTATTGCGTGCATAATAAGTCATCAGCATTGATATTAAGTTATGTAACTTGTGAACATTAGCTGCGTTCAGCAGAACAAAGGGTCCGTTCCGTTTCACGCATCGAGCGCATTAACTGCATCGAGAACCGCTCCGTTTCAGCTAATGCGTGCATTGGTGGCGTATAGAATTCCCTAGAATCCCCCCACCTCTATCGCATTAAGCACGCATCAGTTACTACAGCTCGGACTAGAAGCAGTTGATGTGGGCATGCGCAGATTAGTATTTATAATCTTTTATATAACCCTATCTAAATACTGACAACGTGACGTGACGACTGATATATTTAACATACTGATATTTTTTTATTTTAAACATACAGATAATCACAGATACGTACAATGGACAGAGTCGACAAAGTTGAATTCCCCGTATTAGTGGATAACGAAATGATCACTATGTTTCTCGAAAAAGAGATCGCGTTAAGAGCATCGAAAGGTAAAATTGAAATTTTTAAGTTTTAGAAACAATTTAATTTTTAAATTAATGCATGTGTGTGAATATTTTTCTACAGATCAAGATTTCTTGATAAAATATAGACTCACTACTACTACTGCTACTACTGCTGCTAATTCTGTTGTTATCATTCACTAATGAAAATAAGGCTATTGTTGTCAATGTTTCGATGTCCATTGTGACCATGGTAGCATCCATTTTTCCTTTCACATCAAACGCATCAAAAGTCGTTCCGTTTCCAAAAGTGCATAGGCGCATTAACGAAAACGGAACGATATCAATGCGCGCAACGCATTGGTTACGATCGATACGCTCGATGCGTGAAACGGAACGCAGCCAAAGTGATCAGTGAGCGCTTAGTGATTCTCGCTCCTGATTGGTAAATACTTCTGGGTCTATGAAGAATCTAAAAGAATGCTCCAATCACAGACAATAATCACCAAGCGCTCACTGATCATTTTGTTCTACTGAACGCAGCCATTGGCAGTTTACGACAGAGTGAGAACGTTGCACGGCATCAAACCCTTCTTACTCTATCCTATAGACATAGACTGTCAAAAGCAGTATGGCGCGGTACGAATCATGTAAGTTATGTGAACATTGAGTGCAAAGATATATATCTACATTGAGCAGTTTTCGCTATTGTATTATTCTGATATTTATTTTTCTAATATATATTTCATGTACTTAATGTTTACACGATTCAATGCAAATGTATATATTCGCATTCAACATTCACATTATTCACGTTCGTTCGTAAACGTTTGATAGCTGTAAAACAGAATGAGAAAGTACTAATCACAATAAGTTTGACAGTAAACAACTTTAGGAAAACAGTATATGTAACATATTAAAATATTTATCAGAAAAATATATGATATCGATATAAGTAAGTCTACATATTAAGTAATTATTAATTATTTATGCTTATAATATATATTTGACTTGCTAATGATATATATATATATTTGCATTCAACGTTCACATGATTTATGTAGTCGTACGCCGTATTACTTTTGACAGTCTATGGGCAAGAGCACAGGCTTTTGCATAACACATAATACATAACACATAAGAGAATAAACCAATTAGTTTCCTTCATTTTCCTCCTCAGGACAGAAATGAAGAACTCTGATTGGTTGATTCTCTTATGCGTTGTGTATTATGCGTTATGCAGAAGTCTGTGCTCTGGCCCTATAGGATAAAGTAAAGCCAGCGGCACACGGTGCTTGTTTTCGTGCTGGATTGCTTGCTAGATAAAAATACTGCGTTCTGATTGGTGCATTTCCATCCATCTTCGGAAATGTACCAATCAGATCGCAGTATTTTCATCCAGCAAGCAATCCAGCACGAAAACAAGCACCGTGTGCCGTTAGCTTAAAAGAGGTTTGATGCCGTGCAACGTTCTCATTCTGTCGTAAACTGCGAACTTCCGGCTTCACTCTCCTCGAAGGAATGTTTGGTCTAGTTATATATATGTCATTCGACTTATTGTTCGTCTTCATGATGTGAAAATGTGAGCTAGTACGCATCTTTAAAAAAGAAACAAGGAATTAGCGATAGGAAATTTAATTTCAATCTATGGAAAGCCATGCTTATGGCTTTAATAGTTAATTTATTTAACTATTAAATACACAAATTATAAGAAAAAGAATTTCAACGTGTTCCACATCCCAATTCCTTTTTCCTTTGTGTGAACGCATGTGAAAGCATGACTTTTCATAGATCGAAATTTAATTCCCTATTGTTAATTCCTTATATTTAATTCCTTGTTGCTTGCTCTTCCCTTTTACCACACGGCGCGCGGCGGAAATTGACTAGGAAATATCACGGTATCCAATCGACATCTTGCTTATCCGAAAATAGTTACAAAACATGGGGCATGCAGGACGTTGATTGGACACCGCAATATTCCCTAGCCAACTCCTGCCGCATGACAAGCGTGTGACGTTCTGTTTACAAGATTAGCCTATTCATTAGTCCTAAGGTCCCACGCAAATTGACCAATCACAGTTTATTATTCTTCTATCGAAAGGAAATCAGTCGACTGTGATTGATCAATTTGCTTGCGACTTTGCGATTTACGACTAATGCCCGTTTCTACCAACTGTGGTTAATTTAATCGGCTAGTTATTTCATCGGAATTAACCAATCACGATTGTCAATTCTAATTAACGACAAATGCGATTGGCCAATTTAGTTGGAATAACTAGCCGGTTAATTTAACCAAGGTTGTTAAAAACGAGCATAATAATGGATTTCACGGATTGTAGTATTTTATATAGTGGCTAGTGATTTTATACCAAAGAATCAAAGTCGTAGTACAACTCAGTGACAAATTGGACCTACTTTATGTTCGAATTTTACGATTCAACAGTAAATTAGAAAATTCTTATATTTTTAAGTTTAACAACTTAACAATTGGTACTTTTATTTTTAAGTTCTATGTTTTAACAACAAAAGACGATGTTTCTTTTTTACGAATTTCATGATTGAATAGCAAACCGTAAAGGGAATCTAATGTTCTTTCATGCTATCATGAAAAATAGGCAAAATTCAATGGGCTATAACTTCAGTAAAAATGACGTTATTGAAGTATGTTTAACAGAATTTTACATCTTGAAGTCACTAATTTTTAAAGGCGTTCAAATTATAATATAATTATTATATTTCAGCCACATGAATCGAGCTAAATGTGAAATGGCCATTGTACAATTTTTAACTTGAACTTATTCTGATTGACTTTTCACATCAAACATTTACTTTTTATAAAAAGTCCGAAAAATATTTTAAAGAGGAAACTTTAAGGTTTCTGTTCATTTTTTAATGAATGTCATACGTTTGATCATTCATTTCCTGTGAGCCACTAAAGCTAAATTGGAGTTTTCATTTTAACATTAAATTAATGTGTGAAAAGAATATTACATTGCAATCGGTATATGCGCAAATTAAAGAACATGGTCCACGTTGTTAAAATATATAAACTTCATTAGCGAATAATTGCTCGTTTGCCCGGTACAACTCAACAAACTTTATCAAGAATTTAGTGTGTTTACCAGGCCCCGATCTATATTCGTGTAATATCATAAAACATAATTAAATATTATATTTGGAAAATATGAGATTTTGGATTGCAGAAATCTGTCTTGTTGATCCGTTTCGTTGATACAATTTTATGTAAAAATTACAATTTGTTGAATATTACACGCGATGATCGATTCGGCAAAATATCGAACCTCGAATTTCACATTGGTAGAATATTGTTGGCTCTTTACACGACGTCAATGCGGCTTGAAATGTGTTTGCGACGTGTTAGCCGCTTCTAGTATCAATTTGTAATAAATTCCTATTTCTTTATGCGATAACTGGATATGGATTTAATAAAGGATATACATCAGATGCCAAATAAAGTAAGTGTTTATTTTAATAGATTTTTCTCGACGCACAATAAGTACGTGCTACGTGTGCTTGAAAATGTAACCTTCAAACACGTCAATCATGCAAGTCAGTTCATGTATGTAACAATTAGTTTGATAAACGTCATCTTTGCATTAAGTAGAATGACTTACGATCGATGATAATTGTAGCATTTAGAGGAATTATGCACATTAGTTTAGACTATAGGCTATTGTTTATAATCCTACAACTACAATCTAATATTCTTTGTTTCTAGAGTGAAGCAGAATTGACTGTGGAAGAAAAAATGAGGTAAATTATGAAATCACAGTAATATAAGAATCTCATAACACTGGTATATATTCTGTAATATTTGTGATTGGTAAAAAATATATATAAATATATAGAAACATACACATACATAAATATATTAATGAAAATTCCATTAAACTTCTTTTTCAGGGTAGAGCATATAAAGATGCACGAAAAACATCGAGGTCACGAATCTATGCATGCAGAAATGATGCTTATATTATTTGTAACGTTAGCAGTAGCACAACTTGTATTAGTTGAATGGAAGAAAAGACACTTTAAATCATATCAGGTAATAATTGGTATTTATTAAATAAAAGTACTTGGAGAAGGAGAAATGTGTATATATATAAATATATTATTTATTCTTGCAGTTTACAACATTACTAGGCATGTGGATTATTCCATTTGGAATAAGTTTAAAGAATTACTGGTTAAGATTTGTATTTTTGTGGCTTTTAATTTCTTGTATAACATGTCTAGTAGTAAGAAAAGCAACTGAAGAGCCAGTAAAAGGTACAACACCAAGGTATATTGTGCAATAAATAATATTATATAATCAATAAGTATAAAGTAATGCAGTAATGCAGTATTTTTGCAGGCTAGTATACAAATGGTTCTATTTTATTTATAAACTCAGTTATGCACTAGGCATAGCTGGTTATGTTATGACGTTACTTACATTCTTTGGTGTAAATCTTGTATTTGATGTGAAACCTCACATTTGGATGGATTGGGGCATCTTGCTTTTATTTTATGGGCTTTATTTTGGAGTACTGGGAAGGGATGTTGCCGAAATATGTGCCGACTCAATGGCATCACATATCGGGGTATGTCAGAATTATGTTATCAGAATTAAACTTGATTATAAGTTAACATTCATTACACTGTCATGCAATAGTATCGCGTATACGATTTGATATTGTTTAATATGATTTTCAGTATTATGCTCCAGGTGGCATGCCAACCAGAACTCTGGAGCCAAATGTTTGTGCGGTATGTGGTAATAAGTTCTTAATTTCTGAGTACGAGGAAGGTGTGATCGAAAATGTCTACAAACTCAACTGTGGACATGTTTTCCACGAATTTTGCATCAGAGGCTGGTGTATCGTCGGGAAGAAGCAGACTTGTCCCTATTGTAAGGAGAAAGTCGATTTGACGAAGATGTTTCGTAATCCGTATCCTTTTCCACAATATCAAGAGTGACGACGGTGTTTAATCCTTTGGCCTCGGGAGGCGACTCTCCAGTCGCCACTGGGTTTTATGTTAGCTGTAAGGAGTTTGTCAGATATTCGCAGAATCGTCTAGAGTTGCTAATTTGCCCTAGCGAAAAAGTCGTCTAAAATTTAACTCTGCACTCGAGAGGTGACTCTCGACGATTTTGCGAATTTTAACAAACTTCTTACAGCTAACAGAAAACCTAGTGGCGACTGAGTTGCCTCTCGAGTGCAAGGGGTTAACGTTAATTTATTCAGCGTATATACCTTAAATCATGACATAGTTGGCAACGGCCTCATGTTTTATACGGCCATTTGCTGGATTGGTTAAGGTGGCTTGTTGCTTGGCAACCTTTAATTATGTTCCTTGTTCAAGGTATCATTTGGGCACTGGGCCTTGAGTAAGTAACATTATTAATGAAGAACCAACTGTTCTTACCGTTGCACTGTTATAGTGTTTTATTCCGCAACATCTGATAATTATTAATTTATTCGTCTGATCATTACCGTGTCTGTACATGCAGATTGACTCAGTTATTTTTGTTATAAGAGAAGAAGCATTAGGAGATACAATGCCCGTACCAATTAACTAATCCTGCTCATGTCTAAGTGCTAAGTTACGTCATTGATAACGTCGCGTTAATTCCGTGAGAGCTCTATACCTAGTATTGCAATAATAAAATAATAGAATGAGAATGTATCTCAATAGAAACACATTAACTCGTTAACCCAAAAAAAAAATTCTTTATACGAGAATCTTTCTCATAATACGGAAAGAAGTATTAGGTCTCGAATTAATGTAACATAAATATATTTCCCGACGAAAGAAAAAAAAGGAAAACGCGTTACATAAAACGAATCGTTGGGGTCTATTTCGGCACGAAGCGAGCTGTAAGATATATATGGTGATATTTTTATATATTTTCTAACGATCCTGTGTACGCAGATTGAGAAAATTATGTGTGGAGAGAGAGAGAGAGAGAGAGAGAGAGAGAGAGAGAGAGAGAGAGAGAGAGAGAGGGAGAGGGAGAGGGAGAGAGAGAGAGAGAGAGAGAGAGGGAGAGGGAGAGAGAGAGAGAGAGAGGGAGAGGGAGAGGGAGAGAGGGAGAGGGAGAGAGAGAGAGAGAGAGAACACTTGTATGAATCATGTTTTATAAAGGGACATGAGAAGGATTAAATCATTCGGTATAGCATTGTTTTTTGGTGCATCGCTCGTGAAATAATTAGCTGATAATACGCGTTCGGGTGGTATTATCTATCAGTATTACATCAGTCATTAAGTAATATAACCAATCAAATATCATGTTACAATGATGCATTTTGAATTTCTATCATTGACTTGTAAAATATACGTTCCGTTTTGCATTGTGTTCTACTAATAGCTTCCTACTAATAAAGAATACACATTCCTAAATGTATCGTGAGTGTGCTACTTCCAAATTTTGCTTTATCGAGAAATATCCGGATCGTAACTCGCAAGATATATGTTATGATCTACGCGGATATGTACAAGGGACATCAGTTTAAAGTTCGAATAGCCATTGTAAAATATGTACATATTTTCTTTCACATGGTCTCAATGATTTCTCGCCGATAACGTTTTGTTACTGGCAGTGCAAAACGCACGATGTCGATCAAGTCGTCAAAGAGAGTCAAAGAGATCGTTGCTCTATCTAATAAATATGAATTATTTGTGATAATTCGAAAACAGTGTCTCATCTAGCACTTGTACACTATTTTCTTAAAAATCGATAGTTTTACCATGATCGAGTATACAGCAGCACTTTTTTATTCAAACACACAGCGAGTCAGATGATTACAATTCCGTGCACACATATAACATAAACGAGCAATCGCGAAATATTTAATATTTCCGTTCTTCAGTTCACTCATTCTTTGAATTCTTGTTTCTAGCACGAAACACTAATTAATATCGATAATGTTGTCAGTTAGCGAGACATATCATGTTTTTATTGTAAATCGAATCTACAGCAAAGGCTTTTGAAGAGACTCGTTTGGCTTAAGATTTACTTTAAGGGAGAGAAACATCAAAAATATATATTATTAGGAGTGTAATTTAGTTTTGAGGGTTTTGCAATAGATGGCACTAATGTCAATTTGATCGAAGACATTCCAATCACAGCTATTGTTTCTTAATGCTTTAATATTAATCCATGATATTTAGTTATTTACTAACAATAACAATAGACGCAATAAAAATTGTGTTAACATCATCTTAACAATGGAGCTTCCTAAAGAGCATTTTCGATACGCGTTGCTTTTGCTTTTAATCAGAAGAAAACGGCGGCTGAAGATCATAGAATTCTGATAGAAAATTATGGTGATGTTGCTCTGTCAATTAAGGCATGTTAATAATGGTTTAGACGATTCAAAAGTGGTGATTTTAACGTTAAAGACAAAGATTGTCCGGAACAAGCAAAAAAGCTGAAAATGCAAATTTGCAAGCATTATTGGGCGAAAATCCAGCGCAATCCATTTCAAAACTTGCCAGAGGATTGAGCGTTGATCGTGCAAAACGTTCACATGATACGGGAAAGATTTACAAAGAAGTAAAATGGGTTCCACATCAAATATTGGAAAATGCCATTGCGAACCGATTGAACATTTGTATTTCGTTGATCGACAAAACATGAAGAGTTTTTTGTATTGAATTGTTACTGGGGATGAAAAATGGATTTATTTCGATAATCTCACACGAAAAAAATCCTGGATTGATCCATACTAGCCAGCAACATCAATTTTGAGGCGCAATATCCATGATTCAAAGGTATTGCTGTGTATTTGGTGGGATCAAGAAGGTGTTGTATACTATGAACTGTTGAATCCGAATGAAACTGTCATCGCTGATCGTTATCGACAACAATTATATAAATTGAAGCGAGCATTAGACCAAAAATGATCACCAGTTGCGAGTTAACGACGCAAAGTGATCCTTTTTCATGACAATGCTCGACCACATATTGCATTATCAGTGAAGCGAACGCTATTAGAGCTGAAATGGGAAGTCTTACTGCACCCCGCGTGCATTCTCCAGACATTGCTTTATCGGATTATTAATTGTTCCGCTCGACGCAACATGCTCTAGAGGATACACATTTTTACAACTTTAAACAAGTACGAAGATTTGTTGTAAATTGGATCAACTCCAAAAAAGAATCTTTTTGTCGACGCGGAAACCATCTCTTGCCAGAAAAATGGGAAAAAAGTTGTAGGAAACGACGGAAAGTATATTGATTAACACCTTCTCCTATAATATCGTGTGAGACTTGTGATATGTTTTGCAGGCCAAACATAAGAAACACAAGTGAGACTCGTGATTCAATTTTTACATGTTTTGGTCAATGTTCTTGCGTCTGCGATTTGCGTTTTGCGACTTGCGATTTATGTAGACTGGGCATTATACAGATGCAACTTTATCACCGACTTTGGCACGTGCTGTCGCGACTTAACTCATAGTGCAAGGGGTTAAGGTATTCGTTCATTATCTTATTTAAGTAAATCAGCTTTTGATCAAAAAGAAACCCTCGAAACTGAATCACACTCCTGATATATCACTGTCACTTTTGGTTCTGTTGCTGATTGTAGCAAGTGCAGAATCTCTGTACTGTACGTCTTCAGAGTGAGAATAACAGAATGAATGGGAACGTAGCATATATTTCTCCCATAGTCGCCTCCACACTGAGAATATACCGCGTAAACACACACGATGAGAAACGTCTGACTGTTTGTAAAGAGCAACGGCATTGTTAAGAACACTTGTTTTCCAATAAAAATTGTGTACAAAGCAACGTATTTAGACGTAGTATTCAATTCCTCCGTGTTACGTAGTGTTTGTAAAGGGTGTCCCAAAATTCACGCAAGATTTGAATTTTGCGCCATTTGTGCGGTAAAGTGTTGCCAACGACAAAAAACGACAGCGTGACAGCCGACAGTTCAGGGTTTTTTAAATGGAGTGCTACACGAAAGAACGACGCGTTTTCATTGTTGAGCAATGTTTTAAGAATAATGAAAGTTTGGCAGCTACAGTTCGCAATTTTCGTACAAAATTGTCGCATTTGGGGTTCAGAAAATCCACGAATGATTGTTGAGAAACAAATGCATCCACAACGTGTCACTGTTTTGTGCGGATTTTGGGCTGGAGGCATCATCGGACCATTCTTCTTCGAAAATGCGGCTGGTCAGGCAATAACAGTTAATGGTGCTCGCTATCGCGACATGATAACCCAGTTTTTTGCGCCTAAATTGCAAGATATGGATGTGGACGACATGTGGTTTCAACAAGACGGTGCCACATGCCATACAGCCCGAGAAACAATTCAATTACTGCATGAGTCATTTCCTGGTCGTGTAATTTCCCGTTTTGCTGATCAGGTCATGCGATTTCACGCCGTTGGACTTTTTTCTTTGGGGTTTTTTGAAGTCTAAGGTTTATGCCAACAACCACCCACGACCACCCACGCCTTGAAGGAGGAAATTGAGCGCTGTATCAACGAAATTCAGCCGCATTTATGCAAAACGGTCATGGAAAATTTCAACAAAAGAGTGCATATGTGCCAGCAAAGCCGTGGAGGCCATTTACCCGATATGTTATTCCATACATAATCCTATACTGTATACTTTATGAATCAATAAAAAATTTACAATTTTTAATTATAAACGTGTGTTTTCTATCAAAATTACTTCTTGCGTGAATTTTGGGACACCCTTTATTCTGATCACTCCCCTGCAGAGATAAAACCTCATCCTTTGGGTCTTCCTGGAGGGTAAACCATCATGTTTGTTTGAATTAGAGAATAATATGGTTTGTATGGCTTTGTATCACCATTAACTCAATTAACCCGTCGTTAATCGTTTATTTTCTTGCGGCAAATAACGTTATCGTTAAGAGGCGAAAGACTCCATTCAATATTGTTCAAAGAACCAAGATGGAAGCAAGATTACTTAACGGGAAATAAGGACTTATTTTTGGATAAGAGACGGGCTTCTTTCGTCACAAATTCAGGCAATGATATCAGCTGATAAAGCTGATGAACAATATTAACCCTTTCACTGCTGAATTAACTTCCCTTGAGAAAATTATTAAAATATTTGGTAGTCCTACGTTTTTTGGATCGCTGATTACGAATCTAAAGTCTGATTTGCAAAATTCAAAATGGCGGACTCAATATGGCGATCATGATGTATAAAATTAATGAAAATTCCAATTATTAAATAATGACCAGGCCGTAATAAGAACATGATTCTAGACGATGGAACTCGGTCGAGCTGGAAAAAATTTATGTGGGAAAATGTTCAATACCGCATATTTATGCTTACTAGAGATTAAACATTCATTTTTGAGTATTAATATTGATAGTATGGATAAGAGATGGAGATATAGAATGAAAAAACTAGAAAAATAGAGCTAAAAAGTGCAAAAAAATCAAATTTCGGCCGTTTTTGTAGAAATATTTGTTTATAAAAAAAAATCTAACCTGCAAAAAAATACTGAAAAAAATATATGTTTTTGTACAGCATCAGAAAAATATTTGGTGAAAATTTCAGACCTCTACATTCAATACTCTCCGAGGAATTGATTTTTCCCTAAAAAAAGCATTTTTTTTCAACTTTGATTTGTTATAAATAATCACAAATGAATAATTGGATATAAAAACCTATTGCAGTATGTTGAACAACTATTCAGTTATTTGGAGAACTCAAATTCCCGATTAGTTCTTCAAAATTATGTGATATACAACGCAAAATTGAATCAAGAAAAGGTGGGAAGTATACTTCCCACTAACAGTGAGAGGGTTAACTGATCTTTCGAAATATAAAATAATCCTGGAAGCAACCAAAGATTTAAGACTCTTGTTTCCTCACCTTGATTGATAACGGCAGAAATGAGAAAGTACACGCTAAAAGTTCTTGCAAAGTAAAATTGAGGTAAAAAGATACATCTAGAAAATGAGACTCGCTATCGATCGAGTAGGTCAGCAAAATGCTTTTCTCTTTGCTCTAACAATCGATAAAGAACTGCAAAATTAACGTGGCAGAAGAGACGCAAAAAGGTAGAATAATTACAAAAATCGCACGGTTGCACGTCGCGTTAATTTTAGTTATTTATTGCTTGTGAGAGCGAAAGAACAAAATTGAATGCAAGCGTCACTCGATGGACGTGTCTTTTTACTTTTACTTTTATTTTGCAAGAATTTCTTGCGTTCTCACTTTTTTTTCTTTACGAAAGAAACAGCAGCAGCCTCAACGCGCGTCTCTTAGCGTTCGTTTCGTAGCCGACGAGCAGCGACGTCTCCCCCAATCTCTCCGAGCACAGTCAATAGCTTGCTTACACTTTCCAACAACTCGCATCCAGCCGCGATTCTGTTCCTTCCCTTTCACATTTTTATAATTTTTCCAGAGTAACAGATACGCATGAGGAGGTGGATCCGTCCGAGATGACGCCCGTTGTGAGCAATTAGCGAGTGTGCGCCATATTGTCGTGTAGTTTAGCAGCTGGCAGATAAGTATTCCTATTCACGCAAGCGAGCAAGCGATTCGAAAGCGGAGGGCTGCTGCATCTCTCCACGGAAGGAGAATCTCGGTTTGTGTCGATCGATCTTCTGCCACCGTGCGCGGGACCAAGTGAAAATTCGGCTGTAGGAGCAAAACGATTGCTACAGAGGAAAAGTTTCCACCCCATGCAGCGCAGAAGTTGCAGTAATATTGCTGCAACGTTGCAACAATGTTGCTTAAACATGAACTCAAGAAAGTTGTAGCAATATTGCTGCAACGTTGCAGCAATGTCTTGATCGAGTTCTAAACGAATAGCCCGATAGCCAACGTTCTCGGCTCCGGAGATATCGCTTCTCGTTGGCGAGCTTTCGCTTGGTCCGCGTTCGGTAACTGAACGGACTCTGAGAGCTTCTCTCCTCCATTTCGCGCGGGTCTGTGGGGAAGGATGTGTGATCGCGTTGGACGCGCGTAGAGTCCAACGTACGCTGTGTGTGGGCGTAATAAGAGAGAGAGAACAATGACAACAACTTGCCAGTGATGTTACTAAAAGACTTTAATTAACTTTCGTTATTGTTGTTATTGTTATTATTATTAGCATCATTATCGATAGAAAAACAACTTTCATCACATCACGTATCTCACCATAGGTACTCGTCGGACATCGGACCCGTCGCGAGAATATCGTAGTATCACCGCGCATGTATATTCATATATGTACTTGTATTTACATATATACTCGTTTGTATACACTTATAGTCTAAAGCTCCTCCTCGCGACTTATGCGTGGGATAAATTACTTTGCGGCCGTGGGACGGGGTGGGTGGTAACAGAGGGGGAGGGGGTGAGAACACACTTAACGGTAATCCCTTCAACGGGTCCGACAAACAGAGGTTTAATGTTGTTCGATATAAATATAAATATGTAAACATATATATATGTGAAATGTATACGCACACGTGTATATATATATATATATATATATACATTTACATATTTATCGATTTATTCACTTGTATGTTTTTGGCTTGGATGGTTCAGACGCCACGATACGACGGGATCGTCGGGATGGGTCCAGGGGCAGACATTCACACAAACACGGGGAAATTTTATAGATATATTTATTGAGTACTTAGCGTGTAAGAGTATAGAATATGTCACCTTACTGTTAAATATATCATTACATGGTAATATATATATATATATATTTATATATATATATTTCTTGTATATATATATATATAAATCATGATGTCTTTAAAATAAACCTCCCGCGCCGGCACGCGCTCGCGTCGCGTTCGCGCTCACGCGCGCGCGCGTGTGCGTGCGTGCGTTCGTGCGTGCGTGCGTGCGTGCGTGCGTGTGTATGTGCGTGCGTACGTGCGTGCGGGTACGTACGACGCATGTGTGTGTGTGTGTGTATGTGTATGTACGTGAGTATGCGTGTACATGTTTAAGATTATTTACATAATGATCGCAATTAATATGTACAAGTTCACGAAAAACGAAAAGAAAAAAGTACAGAGACGAACGGGCGAGCGTGTTGTCGTCGCCGGCCGGCGGTGCCGGCGGTCGCCGCGGAGGGGGGAGGGGAGTCGCGTTGGCCGGCCCCGACCCCCAGATGCCGCGTTCGCCGTCACGCCGATGCCGAGAGTGAGTGCCAGGGTAGGGTTCCCTCAGTCGCTTGACGTTTTCCTCTTCGTCCGTGAAATTGACCGTCGTCCTCGTGTATGAAAGTATAAAGGTCTCGCTAGGTGAGATGATTCCTCTCTTCCACGGCCACGGGTGTACGAAACTACTGTCGCTACGGATAATTGTAGGTACCCTAAATCAACAACACCGATGTCGCGCACGATTGTGGCCTTTTTTTTCCTACGTGACGTTTTCCTACCTCTCTGTCCCCCTCTCTCCCTCTCCTTCTCCCCCGCGAGCGATAACGGAGATTCCCCTCGCGACGCGTCGACCCGTGCGCCGCGGACGATACGGTGAACGCTGACGCGCGTCGTCAGGACGAAAGTCCTCGGAGAACTTGAGCGTTCGTCGTACATGCGCGGCAAGCCGTCGCCGAGGTAGCCGCGGTATCTCGATCATCGGTCGCGGTCGCTCGAGCGGCCGAGAGGCGCCCCGGCGAGACGTCACGCGAGACGTCAACGGAACGCAACGTATATCGTGTTCAGCTTTCGCTCTCGCTATGTAATATGTACAAAAGAAAAAAAACTATATCGCGCGACCGTCGCAGTTGTTCACCGGCGTTCATAGAAAGAAGCGCGACGAGCGCGTCCGACGAACGCGGCCTCGGCTCGCCTGTACATATAAAAAGAACGGAAACAAAGCGCACGGACTTCCTCTTCCTTTCCCCTCGCGATAACTATCGTTACGTACGCAACTCGCATATTTATATATTTATATTTATATATATATATATATTAATTTTTATATATAATATCTCTCTCTCTCTCTCTCTCTCTCTCTCTCTCTCTCTCTCTCTCTCTCTATATCTCTCTCACTCTCGTTCGTGCAAATTCCTCACGCATTCTTCCTCACGCTCTCTCCTCACTTTTGACATGTTCTATCGTCTCTCGTTCTACCGCCGGCCTTTAACGGCGTTCAAGACATACACGATAGTTACGAAGTATTGCTTTTTCTTAGTCGCGTGTCGATCGCGGCTGCCGACCGCGATCCGGCATAACAATAATAAATTTTGCACCTTCCCGCGATGAGCCGCGCCGAGAATCCCAGTCTGCTCTTCTTCGCTCGAATCTTTCGAAATTTAACATCACCGGCGAGAATTGGGAATTTGCACGAGTGGAACAGCCGTCGGAGACCTGTCGCACCTACTCGGACATCCTCAGCAAGTGGAGGATCAAGATCGTGCTTTTTATGATAGGCGCGTTTTATTTTCTTTTCTTTAACAAACTCCCACTGTGTCTTAGAGCCAATTAATTTTAAGATGACGAAGTGTCCACATTTGCAGATAATTTTTCGCTCATATTCTGAATTCTCTTTCATCACTAAAAGTGACTCTAAAAGTAATTTACAGCCAATCAGAAGGCTTACAAGCCATTTCTACAGTCATTTTTAACGATAAAAGGGAATTCAAAGTATGAGCCTTTGTCTCTTGGATATTTCTGTTTTTCTGGCAAAAATAAATAAAAATACGTTCACGTTCGAGTAATTCCAAGAATGCGAAAACGTTTGGAAACACCTTGGCAAAGAAAGGCGAAAAGAGATAAGCTAAAAAGTGCAAAACTGAGATTGCGGATTGACAAAATCGATCCGTGTGACAGTCCCCGTTAAACAATCGCGCACCAATCTCCGGCGACTTGATCGAAGATGGCTACAATCCGAGCGGCTGAAAATCCACCGCGGCGTTTTTGCCCGATCATCTCCGTCGTCGGACTCGGCTGAACGAGTTCTCGTCCATCGTCCCGCGAGTCGCAAGAAGGACGAATGGGCGGGACGGGGGCTCTCCCGCGGCTCTTGCGCTCGAAGGAAACATGCGCTAAGCGTAAAGTTAACTCGAGTACAGGACTTTTTTTTCAACGTCGTATCGTTTTTCTGTTTCTTTTTCTCTCTCCCGTGTTTACGTATCGTTTTGCAAGTAGACGAGTACACATAGAAAACCGCTCGCGGCGCCGCGCGTCTCTACGAGCTACGGTGATGCGCGTGTCGGGCTGAACGGCGTGTTGTTGATGGACAACATAGGCGGCGCCACAACTATTTATGCGGCTGGGCCGCAGCTGGGCCAGCGTTTATATGGGTGGGCCATGGTGAGGCTGAAAACTTGGACAAAACAGGACAGCATAATTGTGCTAAATTTTCTAAAATTTTTGGCTGGGCCAGCGTATTTTTAGATGAGGGCCAGGGCCCACCCTTGGCGCCGCCGCTGATGGACAACTCAGTAACAAGTGCTACGGGACTCTGTTCCCCCTCGTGCTCTCTCGGAGCCGGGGAGGTCCTTGAGAACGCAACGTCGACAGAGGGATGCGGGTCACCCGGGGCGGCGTACGAGAGGACGTCGACGGAGGAAGGGGAGGGGGGACACCCGCCGCGTGTTCCATCAAGTTTGATTAATTTAGAATTAATCGCGTATTTGCTTTAAACCGTCGAAAGTGCGAAAGGGCGACCTGTCGACGATGGCGCGAGGCTTTCGAGACTCCTGTGCTCTCCGCAAAAGAACGAATAACCTAGCGCGTCAGTTCTTCGGGAAATAATAATCGGGGAATAATCACCGGTGGGTAATTAACGCTGCTCGTTTCCGGCCGCGACTCAGGTCGTTGATCGATTTCGCTCGCGCCGAATGCGAGATATTGCTTCGCGTCCTTCCGTTGTTCAGGAAGGTCACCGTTGGCTCATCCTTATGGGCCTGAAGTGTCGACGATTGAGCAAAATTGTTCGTTCCGCCCGCGCGGAGGAAAGTTCCAATTCAGCCCTCGTTTTGACGGTTCGACATAACAACGGAATGAATCACAGATCGACACGCGTCGTCCAACCGCTCGGGCTGTCCTCCGCAGGAGCTGCTCGACGCGCGCGAAACCATTTTCTCCCCGACGAGCGTCGCGACGGGACGCTCGCGGCGAAACAACACGCGACGATTGTAGCGGCGACGTTGAAGAACGCAAAGTGAACGTACGGACTTTCCTGGCGCGCGCACGATCGAGTGATCATCGACTCTCAATTTACGTAAATCGCTCTTCTCTCCCTTCCCCTTCTTCGGCAACGAAACGTGCACGCGGAACGAAACTCATGAGAGCTAATAAGCTCGCGTGCGGCTCAGCGCAGCGAGGCGAAAACGGAAACTACGGCGGCGGGCGACGCTTGAGACGAAGACGTCGCTCCGCCGCTGGAATTCTTCTAGGACGATCTCTCGCGGTAGAAAATTTCCTCGTGCTGGGGATGTGTGAAGACTACTTTCGCGGGACAGTGGTGGCGCGTGTCGGCTATACACAACAGATATGTACAGCGTCATGTCACCTGCTTTAGGTTCTCACTAGCACGCTCCCTTAACCGTTCGCTAAACTCCCCACGTTAACTCGTCAACTAATACGTACGTTTGTAGTTATGATTATGTATTTTTTTACTTTTACGTTTTATCATACGCCTACGTGGAACACAACGTGGTGGAGCTCGCGCGGGCTCGCACGTTGGCTCACCGTACCCCTACGTGTAATTATGCGTTATATCCGTTTTTTTTTGCGTCTTTACTTTCTATGTCAGTTACTTCGCTCGAGCCGAACCACATACCTCGATCTACGCTTTTTACGCTTTTCTTTTCTTCTTTATTTATCCAATATTGATAAACACCGACGAGTTCAGCTATATCAGTTACAGAGAGGAGGGGTCAAGGTTGTGCCCTGTGAAAAATGGGTAGGTTGAGACGAACCGAAGGGACTTCGCCTCGGCGAGACGCGAAGCCTAGCTGATTTCCGAGATCGAGAGAGGCCAGAATGAGGTTATTTTGAGGAAGAAATTTTTGGAAACACCAACGCTTTTAGTGGCAATCGAATGATTTAAATGTCGACAGTGGAAAAACGGACAGAACGTGTCTTGATCTAAGAAGCAAGGGACATGAAGAAAATTGTCTGTCCTCTTTGCAACATTTAGAATGGAAGAATGTGATTAGAAGGAAATGGAAAGAAGGAGAAAAAGCTTTCACCGTTGCAAAAAAGAAAATTACTGATTCCGCGACCTCGAAGATTAACGAAACTTAATGACTCGACGAGACAAATCCCCGCGTCAGTTCTCATCAATTCGCCAATTTTTCACCGGGAGCTCTCTTCGCTGGAGCGCAGGGGGTGAGGTTCTCTCACGGGGCGATCCCACATACACACGGTTACATAGGACTTCTTCGACGACACAATTCAAAAAATAATTTTTCATTTTTAGTAGAAAGATAGGCGGGGCATTTTTTTTCGTACAATACGGTAAATATTATCGTTTTCCATTATTATTACTATATTCCTTTTCATTATTCTTATTACTTACCGTTATATTATTATTATTATTATTATTATTATATTATTCATTATTATTTATCATTTATTATTTATTATTATTATTATTATTATTTTCTTCTGGACATTATTACTTCGACGCATCCCATTACGACTGTCGCTCGTCTCGTCTCGTCACGTCGCGTCACCTCGTCGTTTCGCGTTCGACGACGTCACTTATGCGATATCCCTTACTCGTTTACGTGATGCCGATTACTATTTACACGTGTCTACGATGTCTACGACAAATCGGTAGGTTCGCTTATACTTGCGGCGCCCGGCGCGGAGGTTCGCATCAAATTTAAAATCGGTAAGGCTCACGCTCAAGCGGGATGATCGCCGAGCGGACAAGTGGAACGGCGCGGCAATTGTCCAACCACGAGATCAAAATAAACCGCGCTTTAATTTCAATCTTAACCGCGTTTCGCGCGACGGCTATCGAGATGAACGATCGGTCACCTGTGCGATTAGTCTTGGCGAACGAATCTCGGCAAATCTCACGACTGGCGGACCGACGCGCCCCGCTCCACCTGGCCGACGTGCGCTGCTCTTAGCCCGCTTGATCTTACTTTGAAGTACGAAATTATCTCTAAGGTAAACTCTACGGATTTTAGAGCTGACGGAGCACGCGGGCGCCGCGCTCATACTTGGCTCTGCAACATCCAATCGCGCGCTTCGCGCGTGCCGACGTCGCGCGTGCTATGCATCCGGCCGATTTGAAGCGATGATAGTGTGTACGTGTGTGTATGAATGTGTCAATCGTGTGCGTAGGCCTGGCTCGAGATCAACGTGCACCATCCGTCTTCGCGCGAATGTCGCGTCTTTCTCTTTCTAAGAAGAATAAGATCCCCAGCCGCGCTTCTCGCTTGCGCGACGCGTCCGATCACTTCGCGACTCTTCCCGATGCGCGAATCTCTTCACTTCGCGCTCGCGGGATCACGTCGGGGATGCGAGTGAATTTCCTATACGCGTGTGTCGTGTAGTTTGTTCCGGTACACTCGGCGCCGCGGACACCTCGCCGTTCGTTGGACCGACGCTCGCTAATCATCTTCGACCAGTCGCGCGTTCGTTTCCCAGTTATGCGTTTCTCACGACTGTTGGTTGATCTTTGGTTGGAGAGCTTGACGCTTCGCTCATGCGTAACGCGCAATCGGCAGAACGGCAAGGAAAATGTTTACAAGCTGATACAAAGTTTGTGTATAAAATTTGTTGTATAAAGTTTGTGTATAAAATTTGACGTGAATAACTAATTAGAAAGTATATATATCCATATACTTTTGAGTATTTGTATTATAATTATATAATTGTTACAATATAATAAATTACAAATGTTAAATACAGAGATTGTAGGCTTTTAAGCGACGCAATACTAGTATAACCTTGAACAGCGACGTTAAGGTTACGGGAAGGTCATCTTGAATGTTTTAAATAAAAATCCGCATTTTTATTAATAATAGTATCCTGATTTTTGTCAACTTGATGAGTTTTAAATTTCATCAAGTAACGTAAATTAATGTAAATTAGGGCACTATTGTGAACACAAAGAGTCTCTAGTAGCGCTTTTTCTTCCGGCAAATAGTTACCGAGATATCGCAAATTAAATATTGAAAATAGATTTCTTTTAAATATCTAAAAAAATATTAGACAAATAAAGAAATGTTTCAAACAAGAAGTTGTTCAAATTAATTGGTAGAAAAAGATAATATAATAAAAAATAGAGGTTTTCATAAAAAAAATTCAAGGTAACCTTCCTGTAATCTCGATGACGCTGTTCAAGATCGTAGTAGTATTGCTGTGTGATGCGTCACTTGAAACCCTTCGACTTCTTTATTTAACATTTTTTTTTCCTGCATATTTTCAAAGTTATTCAGGTGATTTGTCTTAGGGGTGCCTCGCCCTGTAAATGTAATTTTGTAACAAAATACTTATCTTCCCTTCTACTTTTTCGATTAATGGCGTCGTGAGAAACGCGGAGCTACAATGACAGACGTGGCTGGTCGAATATTTGTGATAATCGTCAGTCTAGCGAATGTTAAGGGACATCCGTGATACCGGATGCAAACATATAAAAAAGCGGTGTCGACAGTTTCACTTGAGTTTTACGACCATTCTCTCTCTCTCTCTCTCTCTCTCTCTCTCTCTCTCTCTCTCTCTCTCTCTCTCTCTCTCTCTCTCTCTCTCTCTCTCTCTCTCTCTCTCTCTCTCTCTCTTTCTCTCTCTCTCTCTCTCTCTCTCGCTCGCTCGTTACGTTACGATATTTTATCTACATTTACCGTTAAGTTCGAGTAGCTATATTTACAATTGCTCGTCTCGCACCTAGTACATCAATTTTTGCGTCATGTTAAAAATATCTGTTGTATATCTATTTTCCACGTTTGTCTCTCTTTCTCTCTCTCTCTCTCTCTCTCTCTGTCTCTCTCTCTCTCTCTCTCTCTCTCTCTCTCTCTCTCCCCCTCTCTCTCTCTTTCTCTCTCTCTCTCTCGCTCTTGCTCGTTTTCTTTTTTTTCCTACAGCGTCTCACGACGCGATCTACGGCGACGTCCACGGACATTGTTGAAAAACGTGTCCACCCTCGGTCGAACGCGTCCCGACTAGAGAATGCGAGGTGAGAGCGACCCGAATAGAGTGCAATTAGACCCGTTAGCGTAGAACCATCCTACGTACATGCACATCATACGAAGAATCCCGTTTTAGCGCACCGTCCCGAAGAAATGCGGGAAACGAATACGGCGCTCGCTCCGCGACCCCGAAATACAGCAAAACCTCTCGGAGGACAAAACTCGTTCCCTGAACAATCTCAGAAATATTTCGCGGAATCTTTTCTCTACCGTCCTCTCGCCTCGCATCGTCCGACCTCGACGCGTCGACCGCGACGGTGTCTCGCTGTCTCCTGCGCGCGCGTACGCGTGTCTCATAGACCCTGTTGCGTGAAAACATCAGCTCAAATTCGACCGACGGTTCGACGAAAGTCCGACAAAATGTACACGTATTACAAATTAAATACTCGAGCGTATTTAATTTTACCTCCCCCTTCCTCTCTCTCTCTCTCTCTCTCTCTCTCTCTCTCTCTCTCTCTCTCTCTCTCTCTCTCTCTCTCTCTCTCTCTCTCTCTCTCTCTCTTACTGCCTCTTCTTCTGTTTTTATTCGCGAAAACGCTCTCTACCGGATTTCGTCGCGGACGGCACCTTGAAAGTTCACGCACGCACTTTCGTCCTGTCACACCTCTACGCGTCGAATCGTCACCTCTGCCTTTTTCTCTCTCTCTCTCTCTCTCACACACACACATACACACACTCTCCCTCACATTCTCTCTCTCTCTCTCTCTTTCTCCCTCGTGTCTCTCTTCCTTTCTCTCTCTCTCTCTCTCTCTCTCTCTCTCTCTCTCTCTCTCTCTCTCTCTCTCTCTCTCTCTCTCTCTCTCTCTCTTTCTCTCTCTCTTTCTCTCTCTTTCTCTCTCTCTTTCGCTCTCCCTTTCTCACCGCTATAAACTAATCACCATGTAACAAGCTTTATATTCTTCATTTCGTTAATAATGCGACTAGCTTAATTTTGACACTTCACGATCCGTTCTCAGCACCCGTCGTGTCTCCGGCACGGCTGATCGAGGCATCATGCAAGGATCGATCGCGATCGCATGGATGCGCGTTTATGGCACATCGACGGGCTAGGTTGCGCCAGTGGACACCGCTGAGGGACAGACGCATCGACGCGTGCGTCCGTGGTCGCTCGTGGTAGATCTCCGTACATCCCGACGACGAGCGCGGGGAGAAGAGGCGGGAAGGAGGGGGGAGGGGGAGATTCGAGGGGAGAAAGTAGCACAGACGAACATCGAGACGGACGTCCTTCCTCCCGGCTGTTCTCCGACGTGCTCCCCCCCCTCTCTCTCTCTCTCTCTCATTCTCCCGTCCATTTGTCCGTTCGAGCTCTCACATCTCGGATTCACGCGCGAATCAAGTCCCAAACGATACCCCGAACTCGCGTGGTATCCTCGAATCACGAATCGTGCCTGTGAGTCCTGTTGCGCCGGTTGCCGCTCTTCCGCCTCTTCCTCTTGGCGTCCCGGGTGAACGCCACGTTGCCGGGGTCGTCAGCGAGCTGCGGGTACCTGTGGACGCTGTGGATGTCGACGCCCTCGTAGCCGTCCACGGTGCCGCGGCTGATGAGCTCGTCCTTCTCCTCCTTCGACCAGTCGCCCCTACCTTGAAAACCGGACATCACCAGCTGCTTCTCGATCTCCCAGGCCCTCTCCACGGCTCGCTTGTGCGCGTGCTTGAGAATCCGGTGGCGTTCTTGTTCGGGATCGGCCCCGTACTTGATCACCACCGCCGCGTCCGGGTTGTGAAGCCTCAGTTCCTTCCAGGTGCCGGCGCCGTGCTCCGTCGTCTCGTGCGTGGACACGTTGAACATGCCGCCGAGCCGGTGCAGCTCCTCCATGTCGTCGCGGATCTTGAGTGCGTTGTCCTTCACAAAGTAGAAGACGTCCTGGTCGTGCACGCTGAAGTGCAGCGGCAAGAAGTACGAGTTGTTGAACACGGACGTCACTACATCCTGCACCACGCTGTTCACGCCGTCCACCACGCTCACCAAGGCGCGGCCGTCGACGCGCGATACCAGGATACCCTCGCCGAAGACCGCGCGGCGATGCGCCACCCGCGGCAGCAGGTTCCTCGTCTTCGGCTCCAGTTTCAGCAGCGGCTTGGGCACGAAGCCGAGGTCGGAGAACTTCTCATGCACGCGATTCACGATGCACTGCAGGCCGGACATGACACCAAAGTCCGGGGTAAGCTGCGGCGACGTGATGGTGGCGCTCGGCTGGTACACCATCTGCTTCGTGTACTCGGAGCCGAGCATCGAAGAGATGTCGTAGCCGTAGAGCTTTAGCCAGCTCGCCAGGTCCGTCATGTACTCCACGTTCTGCTTGAAGTTGATCGGGTCGTTATTGCGGAAACGGTAGATGAAGATGTCGGTCGGCGTGGTCAGCTCGTTGGCCATCTGCTCCCAAGCCGGAGTCATCCATTGGCCGAGAGTCGGGTCGTATAGTCGTTTGTTTAGGTAGATGAGCTTGGTGTTGGGGTCCAAGAGGCCACCGTGGAAGTCGATGGGCAGGTAGAAGTCCGGGTTGGTGTCCTTGATGATCCTGCCGAACGGCGTACGTCGCATCTCCTTGATGAGGTTGCCGTTGGTGTCGAAGAGCGCGAGCGGCGAGCCGTTCTGATCGGTCGCGACGTAGAAGCGTTGCTCGGACGTCTCCACGGTCATGAGGAAGTCGCGCGAGTCGTAGAGGAAGCGGAACGTCTTGGACGACTTGGGGAAGTGCACGTGCGTTATCAGGTCCGGGGTCTTGGGGTTCGCATAGAAGAACTGCGTGATGTTCTCGCGGTCGTCGTTCATGGACACCAGGCGGCCGCGGTCATCGTAGAAGTACCAGATCTGGAATTTCTTGTGCTCCGACGAGTGGATCAGCTGACCGCGCGAGTTGTACCTGAGAGAAGGAGGAGGAGCAAGTCAGCGACCTGGTGTGTTTATAATGGAAGGATATTTTGCAATCGATAGAACTGCGATCTATCTCCCTTTCTCCCTTTCTCATCCCACAAATTTTCATCCAAAATAAATGTTCTCGATGTAATGTTCGTTTATTGCGATAAAACGAAATTTCACGGAACATTTTACTCGTGACGTCGCAACGTGAAATATTTTTCGTCGTACCAGACGATGGAACAAGAATACACAGATGAAATGATTGAATCAACCCTGCTGTTCCGTTCGGGTCTATTTGACCGAAAATCATTTTTATTTCTTTATTACATTTTTATGTAATGAGTGAGTGCTCTGGTATTTCGTGGTTTTGTTTTATAACTCGAGAACATTAGAATTTTGGACCAAAAAAATTGTTATTATTTTTCCGTTTTTTGTTTCTAAAATTTTATATTATTACACACATGGTGTTTGAGTCAGTAGTTTGACTCGATGGGAAGAAATTGGTATATCAGTAATGTCAATTAGAACTTAATGTTTTATGACAAAGAGGATATTATTAGCTTGAGTACGAATTATTGCATTATACATCAATATTTCTGACAAATTCAGTCATTATTTTCAAGAATATTATCAAATATTATGAGGGAAGAACAATTTTCAGTGTTTTCAGTGAACTTCAAGAACAGTTGGAATGAAAGCAAACTTAATAAAAGAAGATTATTTCTGGAAGATCTTGGTAAATCTCTTATAAGTGTGAATGTTGTTAGGAATGTGCAAAAGTTTCCATCGTTCACGTATAGACGGCATTGTGAATTATTTACATGAAAATTGCAACGTATTTTTGTTAAATTATGTCAGTATTAGTCAACCTGCATAGAAACTGATGCATAATAAGTTATGTTCATTGATATAAACATTTTTAATTCGTATAAAGATGGAAGTCGATAAGACGCATATTTGTCATTGTATGCTTTTTGTATTTCATCAGCGCAAAACAGCTGCCGAAGCAACCAGAATCATTTGCGAAACTTATGGTGAGGGAACGATAGCTGAAAGTTCACGTCGTAAATGGTTTCGGCGCTTTAAAAGTGGCGGTTTTGACTTGAAAGTCAAACCGCCACTTTTAAAGCGAAGTCCGTGACACGACACACCGCTACGATTCGAGTCCCGATAATACATCGGAGCCTTCGTTTCCAGCGAATGCAATAGTGCTTCCTTCGTTGACTCAATATTGTCCAAGTCGATATAAGGGTGTCACAGAATGGTCGCATACGCGCGACTTACGTCTCGCTGATAGTAGGCCGTTCAATGCTGACCCAATAGAGCTAATTATTGGTGCCGACCTGTACGGTGCAGTGCTCCTTCCTGGCTTGCGGAAGGGTGCGGCGGAGCACCCTATCGCCCAAAACATACTATTTGGCTGGATTCTTTCCGGGCCAGCGGGTCAGGACGCTGCATCGCCCCAGTTGCAGATTCACCATTGTTCCGTTGTCAAGGACATCGGATTTGACCTCCAACGATTTTGGGACGTTGAGGAACTGCCTCCAGTTACGCACTGGAGCCCTGAGGAGAGTGCTTGCGAGGAGCATTTTAAGCAAACGCATACGCGATCTTCAAGTGGTCGTTATATTGTTCGACTCCCATTCAAGAACGGTCAATTGCCAGATCTCGGCACGTCTCGTGCGGTTGCATCAGCGTGCCTTCGGAGTCTCGAGCGACGTCTTCACTCTGATGCAGAGAGGACAAGCGCCTATGCCGACTTTATGTCCGATTATCAGAGCCTGGGTCATATGGCTCGCATTTCTGACGAAGCGAACCCGCCGAAGAATGAGCCATACTACATTCCCCACCACGCGGTGTTCCGCGAAAACAGCATGACATCTCGATTGCGGGTGGTGTTCAATGCTTCCAGTCCTTCGTCCAATGGGAAGGCGCTCAATGACTTCTTGTTGGCGGGTCCCAAATTGCAATTGGATTTGAGTGCCGTCATCCTCACTTGGCGACAATTTCGGTACGCACTTACAGCAGATATCGCGAAGATGTATCGGCAAGTGCTCATTGATCCGCGAGACATTGACTTTCAACGCATTCTATGGAGGGCCTCTACATCCAACCCAGAGGAGGAGTTTCGCCTCTTCACTGTCACATATGGCACTGCTTCCGCTCCGTTTCTCGCTATCCGAGTGCTGCTACAACTCGCAAACGATGAAGGCGCAGAGTTCCCGCAAGCAGTGCCCGTTATATTGCATCAAACATATGTGGACGATTGTCTGTTTGGCGCAGATACCATACCTATATAATACCGTCGGCCCTTCAAACCCGCGATCGGTTTTGATCGCTCTCTTGTCACGAGGCGGCTTCCACCTGCGCAAGTGGGCGAGCAATTGCAATGCGGTACTGGAGGATATCGATCCTTCCGATCATGGGCTCGCTCGCAATAAGGATTTCTTGTCCGACGAGCCTCTTAAAGTGTTAGGCATTTCATGGCTTCCGGAACAGGACGTACTGTACTTTAAAATAACGCCACCCGCAAACTCCGGTCTGACCAAGCGGGAAATTTTGTCCACAATTTCTAAGCTGTTTGACCCACTGGGATGGGCAGCCCTAGTGTTGGTTTACGCAAAAATATTGTTGCAGCAATTATGGGCACTCAAATGCGGATGGGACGAGAGGGTTCCCCAGGCTATACAGCATGATTGGTCGCGTTTTCAGGCGCAACTTCCTCTGCTAGAGGAATTCACAATTCCTCGTTGGGCCGGACTAGGTGCAGGTTTAGTTCGAGTCGAAATTCACGCGTTCGCAGACGCGTCTACCAAAGCGTATGCTGCCGTAGTGTATCTACGGATTGTCACGAACGCCGAAAACGCTTCTGTGGCGTTACTCCTCGCGAAATCGAAAGTCGTGCCGCTCAAAACAATAAGCGTGCCGCGCCTCGAGCTGTGCGCAGCCTTGTTGCTCGCACGGTTACTTCAATTTGCTAGCTCCACGCTGAGTGTTTCCTCATTGACATGTCATTGCTGGACGGATTCCACAATAGTGTTGGCTTGGTTAAGTCATCCGCCCAGCAGGTGGAAGACTTTCGTGGCGAATAGGGTCGCCAAGATTCAAGCGATTACTTCTAATGCTACTTGGTGGCACGTTCCGACGCAAGAGAACCCTGCCGATTGCGCTTCTCGTGGGTTATTACCCGAGGAGCTCTTGCACAATCCGCTGTGGAAGTCCGGTCCATCATGGCTGCAACAAAGTCAGGAGCGGTGGCCAAGCTCCACGCCTCCACTGGACGCAAGTCTCGAGGAGCGAAAGGAGTTATCAGCACATGTTGCTACTACAACGGAACCGTGGGATCTACCACATCGATTTTCGTCCTGGACAAGGCTGTTAAGAGTAACAGCATATGTCTTCCGCTTCACTCGCCGACTTCGATCGAAAAAGCTCGGCGATGATATTGGTCCTCCTCGAGGCACGCTGGCGTTAACTGCATCCGATCTTCAATTGGCCAACCAGTATTGGCTCAAAGTCATGCAGTCTGATTCTTTTCCTGAGGAAATTGAGCTCCTTCGTCGGAACCGCCAGCTGGCGAAATCAAATCCGCTCTCGAGCTACAACTTATTTGTAGACTCAGACGGACTTCTACGTGTCGGAGGAAGACTTCGGCACGTCAAGATTCCGGATGCGAGAAAACATCCCATTCTCCTCCGAACTCATCCTCTTCTCAAATTGATCATTCGATTCTATCATTTGAGCAATTGTCATGCCGGGCCCCAGTTAACTCTCGCTGCACTACGCGAAAACTACTGGATCCTTCGCGCCCGCGCGCAAGTCCGATCTGTGCTACACCGCTGCGTTCGATGCGCGCGTGAGGGAGCCAAGATCACTACTGAGCTCATGGGCGAGCTCCCGGAGATACGAGTAAATCACCAGGTTCGAACGTTTGTTCATACCGGCGTCGACTACGCCGGTCTGATCGCCATACGCAACGCCCCTGGCCGTAGACACAAGTCTCACAAAGCATACATTGCCTTATTCGTTTGCATGACCGTAAAGGCTGTCCATATTGAGCTCGTAAGCGACTACAGCTCATCCGCTTTCATCGCGGCATACCATCGTTTTGTCTCACGGAGAGGGTTGCCAACCTCTCTCTATTCAGACAACGGCACAACATTTCAAGGCGCTGAAAAAGAACTCCGCACTGCCTTTCATCAAGCAACCCACGACGCGAGCGTGCTGAACCGCGTCGCAACAGAAGGAGTGCGGTGGCAATTCATTCCTCCTTCAGCGCCGCATTTCGGTGGACTTTGGAAGGCCGCCATCAAAAGCGTCAAACATCATCTTCGACGCTGCATCGGCAGTCAGACGTTAACATTTGAGGAAATGACCACCCTCCTATGTCGTATAGAAGCTTCGTTAAATTCTCGGCCCATTGCCGCAATCTCTGATCATATCGATGACTACAATCCGTTGACCCCGGGTCATTTTCTGATCGGGACACCGCTCATCGCTGCACCGGAGCCCCTTCTCCAACTAAGCGAACACCGCCTATCTCGTTGGCAGCTGGTCCAACGATTGTCGGAGGACTTTTGGAAGGCATGGTCAGCCGACTATGTTAACGGTCTCCAACAGCGCCCCAAGTGGCACGTCGCACAACGCCTTACGCAGATCGGACGGATTGTCCTATTGCGAAACCCGCATGCACCCCCTAGTCAGTGGGAGCTGGGCCGCATCATCGCCTGTCATCAAGGGGATGACGACCTCACTCGGGTTGTGATAATACTGCTAAGTCCGAGTATAAGAGACCGATTACCAGGATCTGCTTCCTTCCGGTGGACGTTAATACGGAGGATGCAGTTACGCCGAGCACGGCGGGCGACCCCAGCAAGCGGTCTGACCCGGAAACCCGTAACGATCCACCTAACGGTTTCGACTGAGTTCAGTCGAGGCGGGCGGTATGTTCGGAAATGAGCAGGCAATGACATAACATCACGTTGCCACAAGCAGCATCATGATTGTCATCAGGTCGCGGCCGCGTGGCGGACAGCCTGGCTCCCGTTGGTTTCTCGCAGGCGAGCACGCGGCGCTCCCGCCGACGCTCCGCGCGTGGCCACTAGTGCCGTTCGCGGCCGCTACATGACGCGCTCACTAGTTCCGCTGCTCGCAGCTAAGAATCGGCCGCCCGGGTGATATAACCGAGCGCGATCGCGAGCAGCGTGCCTTCGCATAGCACAACGCCGATTGTGGCAATCCCTGGTGTTTGGTCTGTGCGACTTATAGCGCCCGTCCTTTACCGACGTTCTCTCTAGGCTTTCCTAGAGCAGTTTTAGTGCTTAGTCGAGATTCAAACCAACGCACTCTCTACACTCTTCTGAGTTGACTGCGGTGCTAATATACCCTGCTGGGTTGAGGCTTTATGGTTGAAATCTGTGTTCAGCTGTGAGTTCCCCCTGCGTTGCCACGCTTCAAGAGAGCGGGCTTTGGTCGCCTCCGTGTGGAACAGGTGAATTCTCTGTTTCCAAGCGTCCGTCGAGGAACTTGGCTTTCAGGAGCGGTGGTACCGTCTCCTTCAGAGTTTGCGAACTCTCTCTCACTTCCAAGTATCCGTCAAGGATCTTGACGATTTGACGAGCGACGCGATCGCGTCTTTGAGCACGCTGAGCTCTCTCTTCACGCGTCCACAGGACATCGGCGCTCCGCCGCAGGAACGACTCAGTCGCCTCTAGCGTGACAGAGCTCAGCATTTTCGTTTGCTTGGCCACAGTTTCTTTTCTACCGTGGCATCTTGCTGGCCGTTGCGTCCAAAAGGGCAGGCCTTCCGAAACGACGGAGGTCGTTTCACATTAGCGATCGTCGATCTATTTCGTACGAGCGTTGCTCGGATTTCTCGGTTCGGATATACGACCCGAAAAGGCCGCACGAGATCCGAGTCTACTAGCATCTCTAACTCCGATCCTTCTGACAAGGGTGTTCTGGCACCCCTGCGTCACGGCCGTTCAACCACCTGACGCGGCAACAATTGATGTAAACATTTTTAATTCGTATAAAGATGGAAGTCGATAAAACGCATATTTGTCATTGTATGCTTTTTTTATTTCATCAGCACAAAACAGCTGCCGAAGAATCATTTGCGAAACTTATGGTGAGGGAACGATAGCTGAAAGTTCACGTCGTAAATGGTTTCGGCGCTTTAAAAGTGACGGTTTTGACTTGAAAGACGTGGAGCCTACCAGGCGACCGCAAAAGATAAGTTCGGATGACTTGGAAGCGTTATTGCAAGAAGATTCGACTCAATCGAGTGTAAAACTTGCGAGAAAGATACATGTTAATCAGGGCACTATAATTCGACGCTTGTATGAGATGGGAAAAATTCTGAAAGAAGGAAAATGGCTTTTCCATGAATTATCCGAGAACACTATTGCCAGTTGAGTTATCATTCGCCTTTCGTTCGCCAATAGACACAAACACAAGTCTTTTTTGTATTGAAATGTAACCGGAGACGAAAAATGGATTTATTACGACAATCCCAGTCGCAAAACATCGTGGATAAATCCCGGAGAACCTTCTACATCACAGCCAAAAAGAAATACCCATGGTCATAAGGTCCTCCTGTGTATCTGGTAGAAATGTAAGGAATGCTGTATTATGAGTTGTTAAAACCATCTCAGACTATCACCGCGGAATTACACAGTCGACAATTGAGGCAGTTGAATGAGCAATTGATCGAGTAACGGCCATATTTTGCGACAGAGCAAAACAAAGTGATTCTTCTGCACGACAATGCCAGGCCTCATGTTGCATTGACGACCCGGAAAACTTTAATGAAATTGCAATGGAAAATCCTATCACACCTGGCATATTCTTCTGATATTGTCCTATCGGATTGTTTCTTATTTTGTTCTATGCAGCACAGTCTTTCTGGTACATGATTTCGCAATGTTGAGCAAGTGCAACGATTCATCGATAACTTGATTCACTCTAAGAACAAAGACTTCCATTATCGCGGTATCCATCTTTTACCTGAAAGATGGCAGGAAGCAATGGATAATGCCGGAAAATATTTTGATTAAAGATACTGTGTCATTTATAATAATATTAATAAAAAAATTAATAAAAAACATTGCCTTAAAAAAGATGGAAACTTTTGCACACCCCTGATATATTAGGTAAATCGAAAAATTCCGTCCGTTTAGCGACAAGTAGCTATAGTTAGAACTGTCGTTAACCTGTTATGTCTAAACGAAGCTTAATAGTTTATTTTGACATCTGTCAATAACATTCAATACATAAAAGTATACGTTTGCATCAATAACATTGTTTTTCACTGCATCGAAAATGTCGAAATTTGAGCCAAATAAGCGTCATTTGCGCGAAGTGTTAATCTTTTGCTTCAATTAGAAGAAAACTGCAGCTGAAGCTCATCGAATGCTTGTAGAAGTTTATGGTGATAATGCTCCTTCCGATAAAACATGCAGAGAATAGTTTCGACGCTTTAAAATTGGTGATTTTGATGTAGAGAACAAAGAGCGTTCTAGACGGCCAAGAGTATTCGAAGACGAAGAATTGCAGGCATTGGTGGAAGACCCATGTCAAACGCAAAAGCAACTTGCAGAAGCACTAAATTGTGCTCAATCTGTCATTTCCGATCGTTTGAAAGCCTTAGGAAAGGTTTACAAGGAAGGAAAATGGGTGCTATATGAACTGAAGCCAAGAGACATTGAAAGGCGAAAAACCACCTGCGAAATTCTGCTCGCTAGGCAACAAAGAAAGGGGTTTTCACATCGTATCATCATTGGGGATGAAAAATGGATTTATGTTGACAATCCCAAACGTCGAAAAACTATTTGCGATCCCGACCAACCCTCAACATTGACGCCAAAGCGGAATATCCACGGAAAGAAGGCAATGCTCTGTATTTGATGGGATCAGAAGGGTGTACTGTACCATGAGCTGTTGAAAAGTGGTCAAACAGGGGATCTCTACAAAGAACAAATGACCTGTTTGAGCCGAGCATTGCTCGAAAAACGACGAGAATATGAAACTAGACAGCATAAAGTGATTTTGTTTCAATGACAACGCTCGGCCTCACGTCACAAAATCTGTCAAAGAAACGTTAGAAGCACTTCGCTGGGAAGTGTTACCCCATGCGGCTTATTCACCAGACTGTGCCCCTCCGACTACCACTTGTTTCGGTCGATGGCACACGCACTTACTGAGGAATGCTTCAATTCTTATGAGAACGTCGAAAAATGGATCTCTGACTGGATAGCCTCCAAAGATGAGTCATTCTTTCGCCGCGGAATTCGTTTGCTGACCGAAAGATGGGAAAAAGTCATCGCTAACGATGGACAATACTTTGATTGATGTACCTTTTCATTTTGTTTCTTAAATAAAGCTATACGTTTTGCAAGAAAACGGACAGAACTTTTCGACTGACCTAATATCAAGAAAATATATGCCAAGAACTGAAGAATCGCATAATAATGTAATGAAAATTCAAGAAGCAAATCAAGCCGTTGCTTCAGGGTCTATTGCGCCTATCAATATCAAGCGTGCTCGTTGTAATTTTGCCTATCAAGTAATGACAATAAAACAAATCTTTCATGTAATAGTCATAAGAAACACGCTTATAAGTGACACGAGAGTCACTTGCCAAACAGCCCCAAATAATTAAAAAATGTTTCTCTTGCTTAGTTTTTTAACAAATGCATTTTTATCCTTATTTTTATTTGCTTTTGAAATTTCAGTAATAACAATTTATAACAGCTCTTTTTGTTGTTATACCTCTGCGAATATATAAAATAATAAGTTGGGTCATATTGGCAGTACAACAGTATAGTAAATTTGAACAGAACAGCAGTGTTAACAGTAACGAGCAATAAACGAGCCAGACGACGCGTTTTGCTCAAAGGAAGCAAAGTTTCCATTTCTTGTGACTTAAGATCGGTCCTGAGAATCGCAAGGGAATTTCCCTTGTTTTCATGGATCTTAGAACCTAATTTCGGTTCCAAGGACTGACAATACTGTGCGGATGCTTCTTTTTCCGACGATAATGGCGACTGTTCAAAGAACGAGAAGAAACGTACCTGTACTTGTGTTCGCCGCGAATGACGACGAAGCCGCGCCCGTCGTACGAGTTGAACTCCACGTCGCCGTACTGGACCACTCGGTCGCCACTGTCGTAGCCCAAAGCGATCTTCCCGTTATGCCCGGACACGCCGATCACGTTGCCGTTCTCGTCGTACGCATATTGCCAGTTGTTCTCCGTGTCGGCCACCTCCAGCACGTGACCGTCCGCGTTGTAAGTTATCTTCTGCATTCGAGAGCCCTCCTTCTTCTCGATCGCCTCCTTGCCAATGGTGAGCTTCCTCATCTTGATGCGATTGCGATTGTCGTACTCGAGCTCCATGCGGAACACGTCGAACGTTCTGATGTTCATCAGCACGGTCTTGACGCGGCCGTGTTCGTCGTAGTCCGTCACCGTGAAGAACTGCTTGCTACTGTCTTGCATGACAGACCTGTTGAAGAGGTTCCTGTATATCCGGAGATCGCCGACGCCCTCCAGCACGCCGAGATTCTGATTGTACTTGAGGCGAAGCTGCGGAAGCTGCTTGCCGTTGATGTCCACCTCGATGCCGGATATGCGCGCATTGCCGTCGTACTGATAACGGTAATGAGCGTTATCCATGCCACTCTTGCTGCTGAACTTGATCTTCTCGTCTTTCACGATGCCGGCGTGGTACTTGTACTCGATGCGCATCTCAAAGTTTGGCTCATTGATATCGATGCTGCGTACCAGACTGGTGGTCTCTTGATAGGTGTAGTGTATCGACGAGAGCCCTGAAGAAAGACGAGTGTCATTGCTTGTAATCGCAATATGCGAGACTCAGCACGAAATACACGTGACAAAATTGTACTTTGAGAATTTAATTGAAGTTAACGGAGCTAAGAGGTCGGCATTGTTTTTCAAATCATTTCGAATAAACTCTTACACGAAAGCGATTTATTTACTGAAAGGGGAAGACCTGAAGCGCATCTCCGGGATTTCGATAAGCTTACGTCTATTGTGAAAAAACTAGAAATAAAAGATAGAAATAAAATTTCGAAATCATCGAGTTGACAAAAGTTAGGGTACTATTGTAGACACATTCTCGAGACCAAATGGAATAAAAATGTCTAGTAAGCTAAATATTGAAAAGTTACCAGGTTTTCCTTAAATACCTCAAAATATATTAAGCAAATAAAAAAATGTTTCAGACAAAAGTTATTCAAATTGGTAGAAAAAGATGATGTAATAAAAAAATGGGTTTCCATTTACGATTTTAAAATTGATCTTAATTTAACCTTGAAATTTGACCCCTAAGTCAAGTTCAAGTTCACCACCAGATACTCATTTCCAAATCCTAAAACTTTTGTATTTAACATTTTTTTTTTTTTTTCAAAAACGGCATCCCTTCAAGTTAATTTGGGATACCTATCTTTCTAGTACATCCTATATATATGTACATGTCTTTTATAATTCATAAATTTTGCTGTAATTTATGTTAGATTATACATATTCTGTTACAAATGAAATACATTACAAATATACATTATGAATAAATTTGTATTATATTATATTCTATATTTAATTTATATTGGAAACATAAAAATATATAATATCAAAATTTTCAATGAATTATATAATTTCTTGTAAAACCTCCAATCGAGCATAAATCTATTTCTCACAAGTGAGAAAATTAATAATGTTAGCGGATAATCGCGATCGCGTAATTACTTACCGGCTAGCGTCGTCTCTAGTTTCCCAGTATGATCGTAGACGTAAGCGACCTTGCCGCTTTGATGCGGGTACACCTTAGCGAGAATCTGGCCGTCGTCGTTGTACAAGATCTCATAGGGATGCCTGTTCATCGGCGAGTAGTACTGATACTTGTAGAATCCAAGAGACGTTTGAAGCGAGAAGGTATGAATGTGTCCTCTCGGCGTGGTCAGCGATTGCAATGCTCCCGCTTCGTCGTACTGCAGTAGATAGTCGCTGCCACGCGGCGTGGTGACTTTGAGCGGCAAGCTGCTGAACATGTCCTTGAAGGCGTACACCATCGACGTTCCGTCGCTGTACTTGATCTCGTACAACCGGCCGGATCGGTCGAAGCCGTAAGTTTCGCTGATGTCGCCCCACGTCCAACTGGTCAGTCTGCTGAATCGATCGTACTCCAACTCGACGCCGGCGAAGATGCCGTTCCTCGGGCCCCACTTCACCGGTCTGGCTGTCCTGTCGTACGTGACGTTCAGCAACTCCACCCGATCGTCCATGAAGACGGCTACGGAGTTGGTCTCACGGTCGTACTCGAGGGACAGCAGGATCTCGCCGTTCACTCGGAGCTTCCTGCCGACTTGGGCGACCGTCTTCGAGTTGCCGCGATTCTTATTTCCCTGAACCTTGCGCAAGAAATACCGCCACTCGAAGCGGTTCGCCAGATCCCCAGCGATCTCCGTTCGCTGCTTAGCCGGGACAGGGTAGCTCTCGCCCAAGAGAGGCTCGATCTCCGCCAGGATCGAGTACGGCATAGTGTCGGTGCTAACGGTGTGAGCCCATGACGTCACTCTACCGACCGAACCATCGGCGAGGACCGTCGTCCTTTGCTCAGCTTCGCCGACCTTCGTGACTACCGACGAGCCCTTGATCAGCATCGAGACGGGCTTCCTGTTGTTCTGCCCGACTTTCACGATTGCGCCCTTCAGACTGAGGTCGAAGGTCAAGCTGATCACCTTGCCGGTGGGTGTGACGGCGCTGGTCAACCTGCCGAACTCGTCGTAGTTGTAGACGTAGCTACGGCCAGTGCTGTCAAGCTTCGTCTTCAGCAGCCCCGTTGGCCCGTGATAGTCGAAGGTGACGTTGTAGTTGTCGGGTGTACTCAGCTCGTGCAGCATTTTCATCCTGGACATCCTGAGCCGGCACTTCTGCCCCTTCGTGTTCTCAATCGAGTTCACTTGGCTGCTGTAGTCCCTCAGCAGGAAGACTTTATTGCCGGCCGCGTCCGTCACCGTGCTGAGTTTGCCGTTGCTGGTGTTGACGTTGTACGTAAACAGATACACGGTCTCGCCGGTGAGGATGTTCTTCGTGGCGATATGTTGACCGAAACGGTTGAACACATAAATCTCCTGCGTGTCGGGCGCGTAGATCTCGTACTCCCGTGCGCCGCTGGCGTCCGGAATGCTTGCCATCACCGAGCGAATGCGGTAGTTGGCCTGGTCGCCGATATGCACCACCCCATCGGGCGACACCGCCACGGCGGATATCGTGTTGAACTTGGAGGTGGACGCCAAGTAGTGGTCGGCCTCGAAGCAATCGCAGCCGCGTTCCAGGCAGTTGCACTTGGACTCGGCGCCGGCGTACGGCGAGATTTTGCCGTCGGTGCCGATCACGCGAACGCGGTTGATCCTCTGCGAGTCGCTCTCGGCGATGTACAGGTTGCCGGACGGCCCGAACGCGATGCTCTGCGGCATCACGAGGGTAGCGTGGGTCGCGAGCTCCGTGTCGAACGAGGACGACGGCGAGGCGCAGTGGAGCGGCCGGCCAGCGACGACCTTGACGCGACCGTCCGGTGCCAGCTGGAGGACCATGTGGTCGTCGATCATGTGTAGCGAGTTGTCCAGAGGGTTAATCGCCAGCTCGGTCGGCCATCGTAGGTGCACCTCCTCCACGTTCAGCGTCCCTTCACAGGGTATCGGTTTCCAGTGAGACTTGTGCATGTGGTTGCCGATCACGGTGGTGATGATGCCGTCGCGGTCGACCATTCTGATGTTGGTGCCATCGGCGAAGTAAAGAACGTTGTCCGCCGAAACAGCCACACCCTTCGGATAAGCGAGTTTGGCGTCTCGCGCGAGCGCGCCGTCGCCGCAGTGAGCCTCGTCGCCGGGAAGGCAACGTTCCCCGGAGCCGACCACCGTCTCCCAATTGTGTTCGGGGTCTGTGTAGTCGTTGGTGTCGCGGACGCGGATGATCTGGTGGGATTCAGGGTCGGATATGTAGAGCACGCCGTCCAGCGGGCTCAGAGCGATGTGGTAACGATATGACACCCTGGTCGCACTGGAAAGAGACATGAAGAGGTTAAAGTAAGATGGATTGGACTGCTGATGAGACGCTGTCTTGTAATCTACAGTAAGACAACGTCATATTTCTACGCACAAGGCATCTCTTCTAAAGAAACACGACTCAACAAGCAGCAACTGACAGTAACGTTATTTTCATATTATAACTTTCCTCGCGGCAATATGAACGTAATATAAACACATTTTGCATAGCCACATTGTTCAGCGTTGTTGAAGCTACAATACTGATATCATGTTACTGTGTGTTGAACGGAGGAAAATTTTATTGAATAATATATTATACTGAATCGCGGGACTGGGATACATTTATATCAAAGTTTATATATAGTACAAATTTATATATTACTAATTTATATATTAATATAATGCAATATTTATATATTACAAATTTATATATTAATCAACGCAGCTTGCACACCTTTTTAACTTTACAATATGAAAATTTACATCATAGATGAGATAATTTTTCATGCTACCTGAGATTTCACAAAAATGTTCTAAATTACATAAGCATATCCTAATTTAGTATAGAGTCTTAATTAGCTAATCGGAGACAATGCGTAAAACCGTAATAACCATATTTTAATCCTGGCTTGGTTTAAAGACTATCCATGGACTAACGATGAACTAAAGCTATGTTATTCAGAGACATTTTTCTAAAATGGTTTAAATTTGATATCCAAAGAGACTGAGGAAATTAAAACCTTCGGGTGGTATTATTCATTATAGGATCTTACATTTAACACGTTAAACGCCATGACGGTCATCGCTGACCGACAATTCAAAATTTAATAAATAATATTCTAATATTAAAAATTAAAAATTTTAAGATTGTGAAAAAAGAAAAATATATCTATATATTACTTTTATATATACAATAGTGTCCGGGATTTTTTGGAGACGAAAAATTGTAAAGATTAATCAGATCAAATCATGGGAAAAAAAGTCAAGTACTGTTTTTGCAAAAATTGCAATAATTGTTAAGTTTGAACCCTGAATCTTGAACTTGTCGCTAAGCACAATAGCCTATCATAAAATTGTAAATTAGGTCATTCTGAACAAAAAAGTCCTTTACCATTTTGCAAATAAATACGCAAATTTTCAAGTTATCGATTGAAAGAGCTTCTAGATATAGTCATCTTCAATCATTAATAACTTAATAATTATTGCGATTTTTACAAAATGATACTTGATTTTTCTTCTCAGTTTGACTTGATTAATCTTCATAATTGTTCGTTTCCAAAAAATCCCGGACACCCTGTACATGTTCGGCGCTTAACGTGTGAATCTTAAAATCTTCAGATACTTTGTAGCCAATGCAGTCACCAGGGAATTGTCAAAGCACGATTTTTGAGACTCATATCTACATTTTAAAACTTTTTTTCATATGTAACAGTAAAACTATTCTCAGTGGATGCATCAAATAAAATACAACAAAGTAAGAAGGCTGCTAATTGGACCGCAGAGAAGAAAAGTTTCCTGACGAATTCGATATTAAAAAGAAAGGACATTATCGAGAAAAGATGTACGAACACGATAAAACTAAACAAGAATATTGGAAGGAAATTCTTGATGGTATCAATAGATATGTCAGGGCGTATATATATTATACGTTTGTAGCAGTCTAAAGGTTAAATCAACTTTAGATTACAGGTAGTTTAAATTTAAGCTGGGTTTGATACAAGATTAAATCATAAAAAACGTCTCTAAATGCAAATGTCGCTAGTCTCTTCTTATATTGTTGCTAGACTACGACTAAACCAAGATTATTTTGTCTCTGAATAGCATTCTCAGTGTACAAATGTTAACAGAATCTCCGGAGTAGAATTCTTAGCGTGAATTTGGTTTTCACTGGAGAAGAGAGAAAACGTCTTTCTCTCTTCCGCCAACTTTAAAGTACGAAAATTCACATCATAGATGAAATAATTCTCATGCTACCTGAGATTTAACAAAAATCTTCTAAATTATATGAATATATCCCAATTAGTGCAAGGTCAGAGACAATGTGTAAAACCGTCATAATCTTATTCCAGTCCTGGCTTAGTGGGTCCTTCGATAGTCTAAAGATTATCCATGAACTGACGACAAAATTTACATCATAGATGAAATAGTTTCTCATGCCATTTGAGATTTACGCCGTCTGCTTTCATGTGTACGAAGGTATAGAAGCAAACGTCTACTTACTTTAGTCTAACCACAGTTCTGACTGTCCCGTCGACGAGGATCTTCCTGACTAGATTGAAGTCGCCCACAAAGATGGAGCCGTCCGGCGCAGTGGCCAAGGCAACGGGTGCCAAGAGACGCTGCTTGGAAGCCTGTCCATCGCATTCGTAACAATCCAAGGGCCTCTGATGGCCGTCTCCCATCGTGGTGAGAATGACCCTCGGCTTGTGCTTGAGATAAATGTTCGATCCGTCTCCCTTCTGCAAGATGCCTTCGTGGAAGTTGTACCTATGATGAATGTCCAAGTTCCAGCCGCCGACCTCCGAGATGGACATGTCGTGGCCGCTCAGCTTCGTGGTCTGCACGTCCCAGATGATGTCCTTGCAGTCGCTGTACTCGTAGCCGACCTTCACCATCGCGGTGGTGACGCCGTAGACGCGCTGGCGGTAAACGTTCAGCCGGTTCCACGCGTAGGTGAACTTGATCACGGGGTCGGCCTCGAAGGTCTTCTCGAAGAGTATGCCCTCGATCGTGATTCTCAGGTGTATCAGGTTCAAGGTGGCCGGTATGGACTCCGGGGTGAGCTGCAGCTGTATGGTGGAAAGATAACCGGCCGCTCTGGAGCTGTGGTACACCAAGTTCAGTCCCGTGCCGGGGATCTGCAGGCTCTCCTGTATGACCTGCGATTCCGCCAATATGGCACTCTTGTCCGGGCAGGCACCTTGAAAGCCGTGCTTCCAGGTCGCCAGGACGACCGGCTTCATGATATCGTAGTCGTGAGCCGTGCACGCATGCGGGACGTGAAGCGGTGGCTTTTCCTCGGCGGTGCTCATGACGATCTTATCGATGATGACGACCTGGCGCGAAAGAAACAGACCACGTTCTCATTATTCTCGACGCGGTCTCCCCAGGCTCAGCGTGACCTCTAGACGCGGCCGGGGTCGGCGAGCAAAATTCCCTGCCGGCGCCCGAGGCTCTCTCGAGCGTTTCACGTCGTGAGAGACCGTCGGCGAGTTCGCTTAGTTGGAGCTAGTTCGGCCGGCTCGTCAGTTGAAAAGTTACGTGCAGCAGGGCGATTAATTCAAATTTATGCTCACCTCGTTCCAAGGTACGAAGACGATGTGGCTCTGCGGCTTGAAGGGCGACCTGCCGAACTGCAAAGTTACGGCACCGCCGCCGTTCACCAGCAGATCGAACCAGCCGTCGTCTCGCGTCAGGGTGAAGCCCTCGAGCGGGGTGCTGGTGCTGACTCGCACTCCCATCAGGCCCGTGCCGAGGTGCGTGACTACGCGACCGCGTACCACCGCCGACCGGCTGTTAGAAAATGATTGTGATGTTTAGACGATTGTACGAAGGCCCGCGAGCCGGTCGCGCGAGAGAGAGAGAGAGAGAGAGAGAGAGAGAGAGAGAGAGAGAGAAAGAGAGAGAGTCTAGATTACTTCTTCGTGTGCCTCGTGTGTGTCATACGCTACCAACAAAACAAATCTCTATTCTCTAGGCTAATCTCAATCTACGAGTAATACGTAATTTACTGTTCACACTTGGCGTTCACAACGTTCTTCTCCCCGGCTGAGAACGTCGACGAAAAGATGCTGTCACTTGATGAAGTCTAACATGATCGACGTGAGAGATGCTTTTATACTTTCATCTTCGCCCTCCGCGTCTTTTCTTTTCTCCTTTTCGCGCGTAAGGGCGAGCAGAGATTCGCCGTTTATTTTGTCAGAGCCCGAGGCAAAAACCTATGTCATACAAATGCTCAAAAGATAGGCGTAGCATTTGTAGCATTCCTTCATTCCATAATATATTAGAAAAGCCAGTGCTCCAAAAGCTGCTTTTTGAGCAAATACAACTTTAGAGCACTTATGAGTGCTCAAAATTCTACTTTCTTGTCCAAAATTTCATGCTCCACGTGCACTATGTGCTCCATATGCTGCTGATGATAAAAGTTACAAATGCTCCTTGTGCTCAAAATTTTGGTATCGCACATTTCGTTCCCGAGGGGGAGAAGAGCCAGAAAAATACAGCCAAGTTTACTTATATGCTTATTTTTACTTATATGCTGTTCTATTGAAGCTAGAGATACCACATTTACAAAAAGGAAATAGTAATAATTAATTAAAATTTTTTTTAATATTTGATAAATGTGGTAGTTCCTACTCAATAGAATAGATAGACATAAGCAAAAATATTAAACTCGACTGTATTTTCTAGCCTTCCCTCCTCGAGAACGAAAGATTTATTGTGTGTAATAATGAATTGCTCAGTTGAAGTTTTTAAATGATAAATTTATTTATTGTAAAATATTTTATAATAAGAACAAATTTTATTACATAGTGTGATATGTGTTTTGATTCTCTTTTTCAATATAATTTATGTTCAATTCTGGATTCGAAAATTGAGAAATAGAAATAGACATAGAATGATGATTGTTCATAATTATTGAAAACCGATGATTGCTGTGTAAATTCTCTGAAACATTGAGCAATAAAGTTTTTAAATTGTGGATTATCAAATGACATCTGAGATGGTCCCAAAGGGTTTGAAAAAGAAATCAAATTTGAGTTGTGGTATGGGAGCGGTTGTGTCTGAAAATTTAAATTTGTTGGAGTTAGCTGGTCACTTTGATTCCAAGATACTGATGACGGTGTGAGAATGGGAAGAGGTTGAGGTGTAGATGTAAAATGTTCTGTAATCGATGTATTATTCTGAGACGCTGATAATGAAGGAATTGAGTCGAGTTGAAGTGGTTGGTCATGTGAGGAACTCTGCTGCTGTGGAAGTAAATCACTTGTACTGCGGTCTGAATCATTTTTTTCAGTACTTGAAAAATGAAAAATGAAGTAGAATAGAAATATATATATATATATATATATGTATGTATATATGTATGTCTGTATGTATGTATGTATGTATGTACGTATCTATGTAGAATCTACGAAAGAAATATAAATTAAAATTTTATTTGTTAAACTGAAACCAAATAAAATGTAAAATATAAAATCTTAAATAAAATATTAATTCTTTATTAATCTTTTTAACGAGGAGCATTTTGAACATTTATAATTAAAGTAGCATTTAGAACATTCATCTCTCTTTCCGCGCAAGAGCTCTTGTATGCTACAAAATATGACAAGGACAAATATGACTTGGATGACACGTCTGACAGCAACTTATGAGCTGATTATAACTTGGAGCATTGAAAATATGACGCGGAGCATTCGCAAATAGAAAAGAACAATGGAATTGAGCATGTATCGCATTTAATAATGACTCGTGTGACTTAGATTTTTGCCTCGGGAGACCTGAGAACGCGACCAGAGGAGATCGCGGACGAGATCGATATTACCGGCGATGAATTTGCGGACGTTTTCTTCAATTTCAATTAATCCCGCTTTTCATCCTCGTCGCTGATTACAACGCGTCGCTTCTTTTTCTTTCTTTTTTTTTCTCTTTTTTCAAATGAAACTTTTTCTCGCTAAGGCGACGAGACAAAGGCGGGCTACGTAGGAGATTCCTCGGGTAATGCCTTGTCGAAGGTCCGCAGAGTACTTTAAAAATAGACCGTGGGATTGATTCGTAGTTGTCATCGGCGATCAGATCGATATATCGGCGGCGACGGGGGAGAATCGCTATAATTAAACGCAAAGTGCACTTATCGGGCGTTTAAAGAGACAGAAGCAATTGAGGTAAAATTGCATCAGGGGGTAATGTGCGTCCATTTACATGTGACAGAATCCTTTCACCGTTTAATAAGTATCTCGATATCGGGCATCGATGGCCATTGCATATGCAAATTCGTCATACATATTCAATGCGATGTACTTTCGCCAATTTTGCTTCTCAGTGCTAAAGAGGAACCGCCGGTAGCCGATCGCTGCGCGCGCGGATAAACGCCTGCGGGATGTCATCGTCATACATCGTCGCTGCTACTTTTGCTCGCTCCGATCGACGACACAAACTTTGTATCTCTCTGTCAGACTGCAGTCGCCGTCTTGGGACGGGCAACGGGATACAGCGGGCGACAGTTAGATCTTTACAGTCAGTGCCTCTTTGGCACTGGAGCATCGATCGAGGATATAGATTGCTACTTATATACCTATACAGTCGATATACATACACATATATATATATATGTGTATATATATATATATATACACATGTATACACATACATACACACGAATAACACAAAGTCGGAAGCTCAACGTAAAAGGCACGAAACACAACGTAGGAATCAAAAGGTAACTGAACCATGCAACGAGAAAGTGTTGAACAACAATGGAGGACAAAGTGCGAGCTCGAACGATCGTGGAATGCGTTCCAACTGTCGAGATAGACTCTCAGAGCGCGCACCGCACCAGCCGCAACATCTCCATTGATCTGTCTCCTTTTCCTTCTTTTTCCTTGTCTTTTTTTTTGTTCTTCTTCTTGTCCGTCGCATCTCGTCGCGCTTCTCAAGTTGACGCCGAGAGCTACGGGATTAAAGGAGAGCGTGAGAGAGACGCGCGCGGTTCTCGTGCCCGTCACGCGCTCATTAATCCTCGATATCTGTCTTGCCGTCAGCTTGGAGCCGACGGATATTATGAGCGAGATCTCGTGGAATCTCGCGGCTCGGCCGGCGCGCGATCTCCGAGGAGAGACCTGCTGGGATTCGAGGCGAATCAAATCGAGGGAGGTTCAGCAGTGTTCTCTCGGGCGCAGTCGAAGCCGCACACGCACGACTCGCCGCGATTCGGATGCAGGACGTACTTTTATTATGTACACATATACGTGAGAGATATACGACAAATGCACGAAAATATTATCAAACAGCAGCAGGTTCTTTGTTACCGCTACGGTAGGATCTCGTTAGGGATCCTCGTTCATTAATCGAGCTTCATCGGCGTCTGGTTTTTCTTACCTTGTGTTGAAGTGATTCCAGAACATACTGACCGGGCAGCACGGATAAAACAGAGCCGTGTTAAAATGATGTGATTAAAGGCGAAACTGGAGGAGGCGGGAAAGGGAGCTGGGCCAAGACGACGGAGGGTAGGCGAGGGAAGGGGGAGTAGGACTAGGGTGGCTAGGGCGGGCGGTCGGCAGAAAAAGAAAAGAGCGAAGGATTTCCAGGGTCGGGGTTGAAAATATATAGAGGAGTCTGAGGAAAACTTTGTCCGCTTTTACAAAGAATTTCGATACGTCGGCGTCGGGATTACTAGAATTTGTGCTCGGTCCCCTTCTCCGATGGACGTCGGGGAGAAAAAAACAACTGTCCGGTTATTGTATCCCTTTCCTCTCCCACTCTTAGCCGGCATGATGAGCGAAAAGCTCGAGGCTTAAACATGGACTCACACATTCACGCAAGCTCCACTCGGACGGACATGAGAAAGAGAGAGAAAGAGAGAGGGAAAAAAAGAGAGAGAGAGAGAGAGAGAGAGAGAGAGAGAGAGAGAGAGAGAATCGAATGAACGGGGTTGTATGGATATTGATATATACACAGTCTGTCCCAGATCCAATGAGACTGGTCTAAAAAAAATATAAAGCGTTTATTATTTTGATTTTTTATTCTTGTTTATTCAAAATAGTCTCCTTCTGAGTCAATACAGCGCTGGAAACGTTCAACAAATTTTTCGAAACATTTTTTATACTAATCGGTTGGAATGGCCTTTAGTATGGCGGTCGAAGTCTTTTGGATGACCGGGATGGTATCGAAACGATTTCCTTTCATCGCCAATTTCAGTTTGAGAAATAGCCAGAAGTCGCACGGAGCCAAATCAGGTGAATACGGTGGATGATCGATAACAATGATGTCTTTGCAATGCTGAACTCGCCGATCTTTTTGGTCGTCTGTCAGAGTGTGTGGCACGAAGCGCGCACAGACCTTCCGTTTGCCCAAATCTTCGGTCAAAATTCGATAGACTGTGCTTTTCGGTATCCCAGTTTCCTCTTCGATGAGTCTCGCAGACACACAGCGGTCGCTTCGACCGTACACATTTTTTAGCGTTTCGTACGTTTCTGCACCACTTTTACCCAATTGAAAACAGAATTTAATATTCGCTCCATGTTGGTTTTCGACCGACGTACACAAAGTGACTTTACATAAAATGTCAAACCACAGTGAAATATCAACCGAATTCGCTCAAATTTTGAGGTTAAGTAGATGAAGGGTGAACATTCACCTACCATCATTCACTCATAAATGTCGCTGCGCTAAGAACTTTGATGGAACCAGTCTCATCGTATCTGGGACAGACTGTGCAGATAGGTCGTAAAGAACTTCGATACGAAGATTGTGGTAGATAGAGAGAAGTATCGTGAAAAATAGGAAGAGAGAAGGAGAGAGATGGTGAGAGAGAAGAGAGAAAGAGAGTGAGTGAGAGGTACATGGAAGCGAGGGGGCTGAAAGGGGTCGAGGGGGCGGGGGGTCAGTGCAGGGCACACGCTCGCGCACACGTACGTACAAAACATATGTAGAAAACTGTTGGGATGTGATTTCACACGGGTCACAACAACGCAGATATAATATTCAAATCTATGTATGCATCCTCGTGTCTGTATGTACTGTCGGTAAACACGTGTACTGAGAGAGAGATGTACAAGGGGAACGGGGGGGTATGCGTGTGTCTTGTAATGCGCGCAGGCAGCTAAAGATTTAGCGGGTCCCAACGGCGCGAGCGCTGGGACCCTTCTTTCTGTGTTGCAGCTCGCGCTTCTTCCCGCATTAAAAATAGAGATCGATCGGGCTCTTTGGCCGACTAATCTTTCAAACGATCGGTCCCCGGCTCGAGTCAAAGGGACCATATTTGTATTAATAACCTTTAGTCGTCCCGTCGAGCATGCAACTTTCTCGACCTTCAGGATTTACGGCCCGTACAGAGGCCTCCGCAGATTCGCCGTTATCTTGCTTTCCACATACGGATCCTTTGTTCAACGCGCAGCATGTGACTAATGATAGATCGTTAACAGAAGCGCGTCGATAGAGAGAGAGAGAGAGAGAGAAAGAGGGAGGAGGGTCGATTGGCGACTTGTATCGAGAAAGCGGAGAATTTCGCAAGACAAGCTGCGGCACGATCGAGCTGTAAATAATAAAGTTCCGTTCCTCCCGAGAATTTCTGAGGGATCTTGCTTCAACTGGATTTTATTACTCGAGGCTATTAGTTCTTTTTTTTTCGAGATAACGAGTTGGCTGTAAGCGACTTCTCCTCGACAAGAAGCGATCAAAAATTGTTCCAAAAGTCTGTAGATGGAGAGAAACACACGGCGAATCTGGTGAGGTCGTGTACAGTGTTAATGATCGGTGTGTTTATAGATAGAATTTGCTGCCATTCTCTCGTGATTGCGCATGTTTTTGAGAGTCGATTTTCCTATATCTCAACTTCTTTACTCAGAGACACGCAGACTGTAGAGACGCAACATCGACATCGGGACGGACAATTTTCACTAACGATTTTTGAGCAAACGCGGAGACGACGAGGACCATCACGACGACATTGGTCGCAAGGACGAGAGGGGAAAGTCTCGCGGCGGCTGACGGCGAACTTACCTCTCGTTGAAGGTCTCCTGACGAGCGTAGTTCTGCAGACTGCCCTCGTCGATTAGGAACTTCATTCTCTCGAAGAAGGAGGCGGTGATGGCGGGTGGCTGCTTCCGCAGCAATATATCGATTGGTTTAGGCGCCGAGACGCACAGCTGGCTGCTACGGCATATATGATTCGAGCAACATTCCGGATCGGCGCAATCGATGAGACCGTCTGAAAGAGGCACATTAATTTTTCTGTTATGCAAAATTCCCGAGAAGAAAGAAAAAAGATATACCTACGAGGGGATGTCTTCGATATCAACTGATCTGGTCTCTCTTTCTCTCTTAAGAATTAAAAACTTGTGTGAGAAATTGTTAACTGCTCTCTCACACAAATAGACATTCCATGTTCTAAGAGAAATACAGTCATTTAAAATTACTAGGAGTGTGATTTAGCGCTTGAGTGTCTTTTTTCTCAAAAACTGATTTACTTGAACAAGAAATGAACGAATATCTTGATCAAATTATTTTTCCGTCGTTTTCTACAATTTTTTCCCATCTTTCTGGCAAGAGATGGATTTCGCGATGATAAAAAGATACTTCTTTTGAATTGATCCAATTTTCAACAAATTTGGCATTTTTTCAAAGTTATGAAAGTGTGTATCCTCTAGAACATGTTGGATCGACCGGAACAAGTGATAATCGGATGGAGCAATGTCTGGAGAATACGCAAGATACTTGCGTAAGGGAAGACTTTCCATTCCAGTTCTAATAACGTTTGCTTCACTGATAATGTAACATGAAATCGAGCATTGTCGCAAAGAAGGATCACCTTGCGTCGTTTACTCGCTATTGCTGATCGTTTTTGCTCCAATGCTCGCTTCAATTTGTATTGAATATATTTGTTACGTCGACAACGATCAGCGGTAACAGTTTCAGTTGGATTTAACATTTCATAGTACACAACCCTTTCTTGATCCCGCCAAATACACAGCAATACCTTTGAACCGTGAATATCCGCGCCTCAAAGTGGAAGTTGGCCTGGTTGGCCTGGATATATCCATGATTTTTTTCGTTTGGGATTATCGAAATAGATCCATTTTTCATCCCCAATAACAATTCAATACAAAAAAAAATCCCTTCATTTTTTGTCTGGCGATTAACGAAATGCAAATGTTCAATCGGTTCGCAATGGCATTTTCCGATAATTGATGTGGAACCCATTTTCTTCTTTGTGAATCTTTCCCATATCATGTAAACATTTAGTAACTGTTATGCGGTCAACATTTAATACTCTGACAAGATCTGAAGTGGATTGTGCTGGATTGTCGTCCAATAATGCTTGCAAATCTGCATTTTCGAGCTTTTTTGCTTGTCCCGGGCGATCTTCGTCGTTAACATTAAAATCGCTACTTTTGAATCGTCTAAACCAATACTCACATGTCTTAATTAATGGAGCAACATCATCATAAATTTCTATCAGAATTCTTTAACTTTCAGCCGCTGTTTTTTCTGATTAAAAAACAAGATCAACGCGTGTCGAAAATGCTCTTTAGAAAGCTTTATTTTTAACATGATGTTGACACGATTTTTATCGCGTCTATTGTTAATAAATGACTAAATATCATGAATTAATATTAAAGCATTAAGAAACAACGGCTGCTGTGATTGGAATGTCTTCGACAAAACTGGCATCTCTAGCGTCATCTCTTGCAAAACCCTGAAAACCAAATCACACTCCTAATACAATTCGAGCTCGTCTCATATCCTCTTGAATCGATTCCGCAAGTTTCAAACCAAACGAATCGAGACGTTTGATTCCCATATTCCATTCGCGATGAATAGCGATCACAGCAGCCTCTCTGTGTGGGAGTTTACTCCCTCAACACCGCGGTAATATTCGCAAGTCGTCTTTCATAGAAATTCGAGAAGCAATTTGTCAATAAGTCGAGAGAGCGGGGATCAATATCGAGGGTGCGCGTTCGCGTGGAAACGCGGTACCTTTATCGTTGTCTCGTCCATCGCTGCAGTTCTGCTCCAAGAGCACGTTGCAATCCTTGCCGTCCCAGCCGTCGTAGCACTGGCACTCCCACTGCGCGTCGTTCGACACCCTGCACTGGCCATGGCTGGAACAGGAATTCGGGCAACCCTCCATCGTGCAGTGTTTTCCGTTCCATCCGGTGACGCACAGACACGTGCCGTTCTTGCATTGTCCGTGCTCGTTGCAGCGAGGATCGCATTGCTTCAGATTGCACAGCTCGCCGGACCAGCCCGGCGAGCAGTCGCAGGCGTTGTCCACGCAGTGTCCGTGAGGGCCGCAATCGAGATCGCACAGTTCTGAAACAGAGCGAGGCGGTTAGCGCAAAGGACGACTATCCGAGTTGCTCGGAAATACAGGGGGGGGATGTGTTAATCTCGAAGCGACACACTCAGAAGCCGGGAGAGCAAAGCGGTGGTCGTGTGACGACGAGTCTACGGACGAAGCTATGAGAAGAAGAGGGATCTAGAGAAGTGGACTGTTAGTTGATCGGTAGTCTTAGTCGTAAGAATTACTTTGTTTTCGCGAGTACCGGCCGCCACCTAGGGACCTGGAAACACAGGAGTCGTCGTCAGTACGTCGGACGCGCGAACGCACGGTCGATATTTATCGCGTCGACTCGGCTAATTCTTTCAAGGTATCTCAATATAGCCCGCTGCTCAATTTATTTGCGGCTTTCGCGCAATCGACATCCCGAGCGCGGCCTCTTCTTATTGACTTTCGAGATCGATACTGTTGATTGCGCATCTCTATGCAGAGACGAGATCATTTATTCGATATTTCCCTTTGAGCCGACTCAGCATCGCGGCCACGGCGATCGCGCAACAATGAGAGCTCCTGGACTCTAAATCGACAGATTCGCCGATGGAAATTATTGTCGAACGTAGCAACGGCGATGAACAAACGCGGAGAAGCGATTTTCTTTCTAGCGCCGATGGATTATTTCGTGCACTCTGCGCGAACGCAAGAATTGTTTCGTACGTAAAGTACAAAGTGACTTGTGCTTGAAAAAAGAAAAATATTTGACACAGAATAAATACAAGAGATGGAAAAGTCTCATATAATACGAGGCGCGCACATTTCTGAAGCGACGCTTTGCATTTTTTCTCAATTCTCTCTCTAACCTGAAGATTTTCAGCCGTTGGTGCGCGCGAGATTTATACACCGCGTTCTCTCTCCCTCCCGGAGAGAAACGCAAGGTACAACTCGGCCCACCGACTCGTCCCTTTACCTTTCGAGCAATCGTCGCCGGACCACATGGACTCGCAGAGGCAGGTCTGCGTCTCCAGATCGAAGTTGCCGTGTCCGCTGCAGTCCGGTAGGCACTGCAGCGCCTCCTTGTCCATCTGGCTGCAGTCGGCGCCCTTCCAGCCCTTCTTGCAGATGCACGTGCCCTCGGCGCAGAAACCGTGACCTGAGCAGGTCGGGTGCGGACAGTCGACCTCCTCGCAGTACTTGCCCTTGTAGCCGCGCACGCAGTTGCACTTGCCGTTGGTGCAGTGGCCGTGGCCATTGCAGTCGGGTACCTCGCACTCGTCGTGCCGCAGGGAGCACTCCTTGCCCTTCCAGCCGGGATTGCACTGGCACTCGCCGTTTATGTACTCGCCTAGATCGGACAACGACCGCTTATCATTCAACGGGGCCGACGGAAATTATCCGCGCGCACTCGCGTGTGCAACCCGGATTGAAAAATTAATAGGGCCTCATTATTTTTCTCTAACATTAGTCGGGTCCTAGTCGAGATAAAAAGACAAGAGCCCCACAAGATGTGTAACAAATGGTTTAACGGGTCCTTATAAGGCAATATTATGAAGAAATATTTTTATTATTGCTTGAGTAAAAATATTCCTTCTTTCCATTCCAACAAATTTAGACTGTAATTTCTTTATTTCTTTATAACCTTGCTAGTATACAACAAGAATTTTTTATTTTAAAAATATAGCATACTTTACAATAAAATATAGCGTTCTTTATATATAAAAATCCTGCTACTGTTTTTGTTAAAGTGTGCTCCAAAACGAAGGCAATACTAGAAAAATCCTTGAAAGAGACTAATGAATATGGCAACTAATAAAATTTGTTTTTAATCGCGGTATAATTAAGAAATCTTTACAAGAACCAGATAGAGCGTACCTACTAAAACAATACTAAACTATGACAATTTTATTACACGCTTCAGATTTTATTAATTTTCTATAACAAAACTTGATTTTATATATCCAAAGCATTCTTAAAAGATCCTTCTAAAGTCCACATTAGTTTTCCATATTAATACGTTATTTCGTAAAATCTAAAGCATGCCTAATAAATTCTCCTAAGGCCCTTCTCAGCTTTCCCCGTCAAAGCCTTATTTATTAAATCTAAGGCACTCTTAATAAATCCTTCTAAGGCTCTTATCAGTTTTTCTTATCAAAGCCTTATTTCGTAAAATCTAAAGTATCCCTAAACGATCCATCTCAGGGCCTGATGTGATAATAATGAGGCGTCCCATTTTAGGGCATCCTACTTTCAGCTTTTGGGGCCATCGGGGCCTTATGATTCATGAGGATGACAATTTTTTGCTCGGGAAGTTGCTCCCACGGAGACTTTCGGTGATTAAAACTAGCGCGATGCAGCGGCAGCGACGGCCGCCGAGCGCGCTCGCTGCAACCCGATCGCGGCGGGAATACTCGCGTTTCAAGTTATCAGATCGGCAAAGTCATAGAGACATATCGAGTTATTATTGTTGTATTTTTCCCTTCGAGTCACTTACTCGAATCACGAGTGTTTTACTCGATGAGTAAATACATGCAAACGCACGACCTTCCGTTCCGCAAGAGCGCTAGGATGCTCTTGTCGAAACGGTGAGGGGAGGAAGAGGGACGGGAGAGGAGATTGACGAGAGAGAAAGAGGAAAAGAGAGAAGAGAGAGAGAGAGAGAGAGAGAGAGAGAGAGAGAGAGAGAGAGAGAGAGAGAGAGAGAGAGAGAGGGAGAGGGAGGATATAATCGGTACCAAGCACCAGGAAATATGTACCGCGGCTGTTTGCAAAAGCGCAATAGCGAAACGAGTGAAATGTAATCGGCTTTGATTTCTATTTAAAAGAAATCGATACATAAACGAAGCCGTAAAAAAACCAGACTTGGTTTTTTTAATCGGTGGAAATAAAAAAAACCTCCCCTTGCCCTCCGCCGCCGCCGCCGCCGACCGATCGTTGCGTCTTTCTATTTCAATAGGATTTTAATCAAACCCCCCCCGGTGGTAACCAATAACCGATTTTTGAAGTTTATTAAAATTCCGATATGGATTTCAATTTAATGTTATTTTAAACGAATGGCCGAATCCTATTAGCGCGGCTTTCTCTCGATATTCCTTCGGTGCTCAATGAGAGCGCATAATAATACACCGCGAATGGACGCGATCATATGGAAGGAGGGGGAAGAAAGAAGTGTATAAATTATTCAGCAGAGCCGCGCCACTTGTGTAATCAGTTGAAACACGAAGAAGCCGCTGGTCGTCGATACGTTTTTTCGCCGCGCTTCTCCCCCTTCCCCTCCTCCTCCTCCTCCTCCACCACCCTACCCCGAGCACCGGAACGCGACGCTGCGCATTTCCCAAGCTCGCCTACCTCTCTGGCTGCAGAGGACGGGGCAGACGCTCTCGCTGCAGTCCTCGCCGCCGAAACCGGGGTTGCACTGGCAGTGACCGAGAAGACATTCGCCCTTGCCGCTGCAGCCGTTCGGGCAGTTGTGCGTCATGTCCTCGGCGATCACGGCGGTGAACGAGACCTCGTGGGGATCCCCGTCGTCGTTGTAGAGCGAGAGGAACCAGTGGCCCGGCTCCATGTATTGCGTCACCTCTTTCTTAATCGAGGGCTGCCGAAGCAATCGATATTGATTAAACCGTCCGAGTACACACATACGCACGTATACACATTTATATTAGGAGTGTGATGTTAGTTTTAAGAGTTTTGCAAAAGATGGCACTAATGTCAGTTTTATCAAAAACATTCCAATCACAGCTGTTGTTTCTTGATGCTTTAATATCAATCCATTAATATTAACGATATTTAGTCATTTACTATCAATGGATGCAGTAAAAATCGTGTTAATACCATCATGAAAATGGAGCTTCCTGAAGAACATTTTTAATCAGAAGAACACGGCGGCTGAAGGTCACAGAATTCCGATAGAAACTTATGGTGATGTTGCTTCATCAATTAAAACTTGTGAATATTAATTTAGATGATTCAAAAGTGGTGATCTTAATTTTAACGGCAAAGATCGCTCAGGACAACGGGAAGAAGCTTGAAAATGCAGATTTACAAGCATTATTGGATGAAAATCCAGCATGATCCACTTTAAAACTTGCCAGAGCATTAAATATTGAACGGTTACTAAACGTTTACATAAAATGGGAAAGATTTACAAAGAAAGAAAATGGGTTCCACATCAATTATCGGAAAATGCCATTGCGAACCGATTGAACATTTGCATTTCGTTAATCGCCAGACAAAAAATGAAAAGATTTTTTTTATACCGAATTGTTACTGGGGACGAAAAATGGATCTGTTTCGATAATCCCAAACGAAAAAAATCATGGATTGATCCAGACCAACTGGCAACATCCACTTCGAGGCGCAATATTTACGGTTCAAAGGTATTACTGTGTATTTGGCAGGATCAAGAAGGTGTTGTGCACTATGAACTGTTGAATCCGAATGAAACTGTCACCGCTGGTTGTTATCGACAACAATTATACAAATTGAAGCGAGCATTGGACCAAAAACGATCAAGTTGCGAGTAAACGACGCAAAGTGATCCTTCTTCACGAAAATGCTCGACTTCATGTTGCATTATCAGTGAAGCAATAACACTGTTGGAGCTGGAATGGAAAGTCTTATTGCACCTCGTGTATTCTCCAGACACTGCTCTATCCGATTATCACTTGTCCCGGTCGATGCAACATCCTCTACATACTTTCCATAACTTGGAACAGGTGCGAAAATTTGTTGAAGATTGGATCAAAAGAAGAATCTTTTTATCATCGCGGAATCCATCTCTTGCCAGAAAGATGGGAAAAAGTTGTAGAAAATGAAGGAAAATATTGTGATCAAGGTATTCGTTCATTATCTTGTTTAAGTAAATCAGGTTCAGAGAAAGAAACCCTCAAAACCAAGTCACGCTCCCAATATATTCACTACTCATTATCTGCTAGGGGGCGGGTAAAAAAATGAAAAAAAAAAAATACGTCCACACCCGACGTCAGACTACGCTACGTTAAGATGATAGAAATAAAAGATGGGACGGTGGCACATACAATGACACTAACATGAGACGCCCTGGTGGTCCGCGCCTTGAAGCCGCTGAGGACCTCCAGAAGGTCGTACTGCGTGTGCGTGGGCAGCGCGTTCCTCCTGGCGTACACGCCGATGCTGGCACCGCGCGGGATGCTGTAGTCGAAGCGCACGTAGGCGGCCTCCGATTGGTAGAACTGCATGTTCCAGTAGCCGTACGGTGGTATCTCCTTGCTGAGTTTCTGTCCTAGGCTGACTTGAGCGAAGGTCGTGCCGTCAGGTGGGAAGGACCTCGCTGGGAAAGTTCGCGCACCTGCGGGACCACGTCCAGCGATCAGTAAGGACCTTAAATCGATCTCGGATTCGCGTCGGCTGATGCGTCCGGGTCAACGTTAGTCATTTTAGTGCAACTGGCAAAGTCGCCTATTTGCAGCCACGGAAGATTCGTAAGGTGCCAATGCCGCGACAAGTCTGGACATTCTTTTCGGTTTGACTTTTGAATTTGTTGACCTTGTGTTGGACTTTGTATTCGTACTCTTTCATCGACCTTCTTATTATTTTGATCTTCATATACAAATAATTAAATTTGTAACATGGAATACATATTGGATTGCTCGATAAGTTTGTACGGATTTCTGCAAAGGGTTAAAAGGTCGGCACTTTTATAGCTGGGCGTAACTTTATTCGCTAATGTGTCTTAGCTGTATCGTATTTTTTCAATGACGATGAAGGTTCTGAGAAACGAAAAAACCAAGTTATATCTGACGCTATAGGATCATCAACTTCGACAACAAGCTAATATATTCGACGACTTAAACATGGAAAGGCCAAAACAACAAGAGTGCCCAGAAGTGGGCACGTTTAACCGGCAATGGTACTTTCACTTCATTTAAATGTGCTCAGCAGCTGGTTTAAAAAAAAATGAAAAGAAAAAATTTAACATTAATTTACGTAAACCGAGTCGATTTACCCGACAGAGAAGAAATGGGCATTCACTCTGACGAGCTGAACGTCCCAAAGTTTAAGCGTGAACGCCTTTTCGCGTATCGGCATTTTACGAGCGTTTTACGTCCGCTTCATCTTTCAGAGGATCTGCACATCTTATTAGTTGTCGCGCGATTGACGAGATCGGTCACGATTAAATGTCCCTTGACGATGTGTGCTCTTACGTGACAATTGTCAACGGACACTCTTGATGCTGACGTCCTACGCATGGGATCGATCATAGGCAAGTCACTGAAAGTCACAATCTACGCAAAAACTACACTACCCACTACCACGAGAAGCCCATCGCAAAGACACTACGACGCAGGCGGAGCCGTATTCTCCGCGGCAATTCAAGTCTCACGCTCGGCAAGCAATCCACGAACTAAACAGCAAGCAAACAACTTGAGCGGCATCAGCATCACAGCGAAGACGGAAGTGCGAGAGAGTGTAGAAGAGCTCCCGTGTAGAAGAAAGAGAGAAAGACTGATTCGAGGAGACGACGGAAGCGCGCGAGAAAGAGAAATAAAGAGAGAGAGAGAGAGAGAGAGAGAGAGAGAGAGAGAGAGAGAGAGAGAGAGAGACAAGACAAAAACAACGTAAACGGGGCCTCACCTTCGAGAATCAGTATAGTGGGCTCTGGGGGAAGCGGAGCGCCTCCAGAGCAAGCCCACGCGTCGGTGGTGCTCACTTCCGGTTCATAAGCCGGCGTGTTGTCACTGCTCGACTCACTGTATTCCACAGAGTCAACTATCGACGACGAGTCGACGTCGTAGTCTTGTGTATCGCCGGTGGTCACGTTGCTCGCCGAGGGCGGCGCGCTCGCGGAGGATTCCTCGCGCTGACTCACTCCTTCACCAGCCTCCGACTCGTGTCCCTCAAGTTCCCCCCGGGCCTCGCCCGCTGGCAGGGTGGAGTTAGCGCGCTGGTCGAACGGCTCCTGCTCCGCGTTGGCGCTCTCGTCGAACGCTGAAAAGTTGTCCCACTCGTCAGAAGACGAGCCCATGCACGGGCAGGAGCACTCGCACTCGCCACCGGCCCAGACCGGCGCTGGCGGCGAGGCAGGTGGCTGCGGCGGCGGCGGCAGTCGCAGCGTATCGAGCGTATCCATCGACTCGCCGTTAGCGGCGACCTTCCTCAGCATGCTCGCCGCGCCGGCTTCCTCCGGAGGCTGCTCGGCCGCGCGCACCTGCGCCTGATTCATGTTAATCCCGGACGCGTCGCCGTCCGTCGGCACGGACACCGACAGCACGTACAGAGGCCTCGAAGAAGCGGCGGCCGAGTCCTCGCTGGCGATCGTGATGTTTATAAGCACCCGGTGGGCAGCCGTTGATGAAGAAGACGACGATGAGGATGAGGGCGATGATGGCGGGTCGCCGCGGTACACGGGGACCTCGACGACCTGCACCCGCTGGGTCAGCAATGAGCCGGACGGGTTAGCCGTGTTAGCGGGTGTCGCGTCCGCGGGTGAATCATGCAGGGTTTCGCGCAGGTTGTCCGCGGGGTTGCGCTCGGCCGTGATCGGCGGGTAGTTCTCAGCGGAGTCTTCGAGCTCCGCTCGGCGGAAATTCTCCTCGAACTTCCGGAGGAACTCCTCGTCGCTCCCTTCCCTCTCGACCACCCGCAGGTCGCCCTTGTCGCGCTGCCTGCGCGACACGGTGTTCGTCTTCACGTCGTTGTTGTTGTTGTTGAAGACCCCGGGTTCGGCTGCCACCTTGGCGATCGCTCGGGCTCCCTCGTGGTGCAGCTTGACGATCTCCACCTCGTCTTGCCCCGCGTAGCTGTAGGCCGGCACGGGGTAGTCTCGCTGGAGCTCCTCCGGGTTCTCGGCGGACTTGACGGGATTGGACGACGCTTCCGACGACTCGGGCGACGAGTACTCCCGAGAGAGCTCTCGCGTCTCTTTCACGACGCCTGACGTCGACCTCGACGACTGGGACTGCGCTGACGGCGCCGTGGCCGTCTCCGAGTCGTGTCGACCGTCGGTGGAGTTGATTGTCCCCCCAGACGCGTGATCTTCTGTAATCTTCATCATGGCGTCCTGGTTCTCGCTGAAGGCTGCGTCGGACGTCGCTTTATCGGCCACGAGTGTATCGGGCGAAAGTTCGTCGACGTTCACCTCTTCCAGAGCTGACGCTTCCGCCGGTGCCAAGGCTTCGCCACAGGAGGAACAGGAGGAGGGGGAGGAGGGGGAGGAAGACTCGTCGCTCGCGTTTTGGTCAGGGTGACTTACGCTCGAGCATGGCTTCACTGTCGTAGTCGTGGACCGTGCCGCGCCATCAGCGGGCTCCACATCGCCGCTGTAATCGGCAGCGCGAACGTTATTGTCGTTTGCCGCACTTCCGCCGGCTATCGGCGGCACTTGGTGCTCGTGGTCGCCATAATCAGCGCCAAGTTTCGCGAACTCGACGCCGGATGCAGACGTCGTAGCCGCGGTGTCGCCGCTGCTCTCGGCGATGTCGGAACTTTCGGACGTGCCGGCACCGTCGAAATCCGCGGGGCCGTTGTCGTTGCCAAGTTTTGCAATCGGTGCGCCCGGTGAGGCGACATGCTGCTGCCGGCGTAGCGGCGCGACGCCTTCGCCGACGGCTGAGGAGAATCCCACGTGGAGAAATGGCGGCGGCGACGACGTGGCGCGCGTCTCGCGAGCGGAGGACGATGGGACAGAATGAAAGTCGACAGAGACAGAGGACGAAGAGGTGAAGTCGACAGCGACAGTGGTGTGAGTCGAGTGATCGTGCGAGTGGTTAATGGTAGTAGTAGAGGAGACGTCTCGGGCGAGAAGCGACCGCGACGGAGTCGTCGATCCCGCCGCTGCGTCTTTGGTCTCGACAGCTCCTTCCACCGGAGCTCGAGCGTCCGCATGCACCTCCGGATCATGCACAGCCTTACCAGAACGTTCCTCATGCAACGGGACCGGCGCTTGCTGCCCGGACCCTGAGACCGCGCTGCTGCGGCTGCTGGTGGTCGGGGTCAAGGTCAAGGGCAGCTCTTCGGGATCATGGGAGGGTGGTGGTGGTGCGACAGTTTGGTGCGGCAATGCATGCTCGTTAAACGTGTCCCTACGCTTGCGGCTGTATACACCATCTAACAACATGCTAGCCGATGTGCTAATACTACCTCCTGACGGCGACTGCTGCCGCGCTCGGCCGCTCGATTGCGACGACGTCGACGCGGACGACGAGGACGTCTTGTTCGACTCGCTCGACGACGGCTTGGCGTCCGTGTTCTCGCCCACCAGCACTGTGCAGGCCTTCGTGCTTTGGTACGACCAGTTGACTAGATGAAACAGTTTATGTTAATATGGCGGCTGGTGTTTTGTGTTATCGGGGGTGAGTTGGGGGTGAGCTACGGAGGCATGTTGCCTCGTGTTACTCTTTGGGAGTTAATCCGATGGACTTTACTCGAGAAGAAACATGTCTAGAGGACGGGGATATTTTTACCGCTAATTTTCTGAAACGTTTCTGAAATATCCGGAAATGTCGGCCGGCCGAGTGTAATATTATTATTTGAGGCAGAATTTAATTTCCGGCGTCAACCGAGTGCGGAGGTTACGCTCGATTGGACGTCACCGCTCGAGTCGCGGCGACGAAGAAGAGCGCTGGTGTGTTCGGAGCTGCGATATGCGAATAATTACCTGCGACGTAGGTTAACGCTGCCGTCAGGCAGAGCAAGAGCATAATTATTATGATGGAAATTAATTTCCAACTGCACCAATCGATTCCCTTGCGGAAGTGACAGCGAATGCTTTGTCTCCTCATCGGGATCATCGACGGGGCGTGCCCGTAAGGCAAAGGTACTCTGAAACACCGACGAAGACCGATTTGTAGCGGCTGCATTTAAATTCGCGCGCTAGCGCAATGGCGGCGAAATGGCGACGGCGGTGGTCGAGCGGCAAATTTATCCGACACGCGCGTCAACGGTTATCGCTCGCTGCTCTCTCTCTCTCTCTCTCTCTCTCTCTCTCTCGCTAACGTAGCGAGATTAATCTTTATCCCATCGGTATTTTACGCGGCAAAGTTTCGACAGCGGCGCGGTATAAACCGCGCGCTTCGACCGAGTCTTCGTTACGACGGTGTTACATAATTTCCCGATGCACCGCTGTAATTAGAGAAACACTCTCGAGGAATTCGGCACCTCGATACAATTTTCAAGCACGTTCGGTCGAACTCGCGAGTTTCGGTATAGAGTATGGAGTTTCAGCTTCCCCTCCTTCTCTCCATCTCTCCCTCCCTCCCTCTCTCTCTCTCTCTCTCTCTCTCTCTCTCTCTCTCTCTCTTACCCTCTTCGTTTCTCAACGGCGGTCGAGAAACTCGTAATGTATTCTCGCTCGTTACATACCCCCGGTGGAAAAGCAGCAGCCCTCGAGTGTGTTTGTACTGAACGCCGCCGCCGCCGCCGCCGCCGCCGCTTCCAAGTAACTCACAAATGTCTAACCAAAATATTTAAACGCAACCGTCGGATTCTGAAGCGCGAGCGGGAAAGCCGTTTGCTTTCGTTGCACTGCGTGATAATGAAAAAAACGAGAACCAGGCGACGTCTGGCAGATCCTCCCTCTCCCTCCCGCCCTGCCTCCCTCTCGCTCTTTCTCCGGCTGTTGATTCTACGCGGATTGGACGCATTTCCTTTTTTCTCCCGTTTCTCCTATCGTGCGAACTGGATAGAGGAGAGCGGACGATTTGGAGTTCTCCCCGAGTGAAACTTCCGGCCGGTGAATTCTCCGTTTTACAGACCGACGTCGAAATGTTCAACCGAATGTTTGACTCATTCGTTACAGAGTTCCAATATTGAAATATCCCACTTGCTCCTTTTTCCCTTTGTCAGAGAGACTCTGGCACTTCGGTGTCGGCGCATTTATGCGCACTTTCGCGCCGCTATACCGCGTTGTTTTGCTCCTCGACGGGGATAAATGGCACGTCGATTTGTATAATGCGAGTTGAGAAAAACAATCGAGTCACTTTAGTCAAACGGGACTCTCACGTGTCGTGTTTCCGCGCGGTTATCTTCAGATCGACGATGAACAGATTAAACGGTGGAGGACCCAGGATTTTTCAGCGCGACACCGTTGCCGACGTCGTTGCGAGGGGATATTTTTACTAACAATTAACTCCAATTAGCCGTTCTTATTATCGGCGTTCTCAATATCCGGTTTCTCGGAATAACTAATCCGAAGTGCTTTCCGAACGAAAGCCGAATGTCATTTGCGCGCGCGAGTCGTTCCTAAGATAGCGGCGTCATCGAATTTCGTTGTGTTGCCGGGCGGGAAGAAGTTCGTTTACCGACTCCGTGAATACACGATGGATGCACAGCGTGCAGCGTGCGTCTCGCGAACGTTTTGCAAATTTCAACAGCACGTTCGAGGGTCTGCGGCGAATGCCTCGGAGGAATGCCCGAAGGACCGGCCGGCCGTTCTCCACGGCGAGCGTCACGCGCAGGCGAGCCTTTCTCAAGGGATGACAATCCACGGACAAACATTGACTCTCATTGTGCGAGTCGACTGAATGGATGATTCATGAGGATCTCGAGTGCCCTGTCGCGATCCGAAGAACGAAGCGAACCGAAGTAGCGACAGAAGTCGGCCACGGCTCGTTCGCTTCGATCATCGACGTCGGTTTTCGAAACACGAGTTCCGCGTCCGAGACCCCATCGATTCGACGCAACTCATTCAATTCGGCCTGCTCGTCGTGCTCGGCCGGAATGAAAGGAGAGAAAGCGTGTATTCGCGGTAAACGCCTGGCCCGTACACGGCCGATCTCTTACCTGTCCATGTTGTTCTGCAGTTCCACCTTTATTGGACTGTTCCCCGTGGACTGATTCTTGTTGTTGTATTCATTCTTCGGTATCTCTGTAAGCAACGAGAAGAAGCGGCGTGATGAAAACAGTTTGTTATACACACATGATACACACATACATATATTTTATACACAGGGTGTCCCATTTTAATCGAGTCAGGCAAAGATCTCGAAAAATATGAAAGATACTAAAAAATGTTTTTGCTAATTTGATAATTATGAAATTTCCATTTCGATAAGTTGACAAAAGTCAGGGTACTATTGTAACAATATATTCTTGAGACTAAATAGAGTAAAAATGTCTAGTACTATCTTTTCCTCCGGCAAGTAGTTAGCGAGATATCGTAAGTTAAAAGGTTGAAAAAGTTACCAATTTTTCCTCAAATATCTCAAAAAATTAGGCAAATAAAAAAGGATATTAGGCAAATAAACAAAAATTTCAGACAAAAGTTGTCCAAATTAATTGATATAAAAAGATGATATAATGAAAAATTAGGATTTCCATTTAAGAAAAGTAATGATCAGTGAATATCTCGAAAGTGACGTCATCTGTAAACAAACTGATATAGTTTTGTTTTATGTCCCTCTTGAAACCGTACAACTTTTGTCTGAAATGTTTTTTAGTATTTTTTATTTTTTCGAAATTTTTGTTTGGTTCATTTAAAATAAGACATCCTACAGAGTGTCCGGGATCTTTTGGAAACAAAACATTGCCAAGATTAATCCAATCAAACTGAAAAGAAAAGTCATGTATCATTTTGCAAAAATCGCAATAGTTATTATTAATGATTGATAATTATCACATCTAGAGATTCTTTTAATCGACAACTTGAAAATTTGCAAAATGATAAAGGACTTTTTTTCTCATAATGACTTAATCTACAATGAGATGACGGCTATTGTGCCTAGATATGAGTATATTAAACTTTGAATCTTGAGTCTTGAACCTGTCGCTATTTTGAACAAAAAAGTCCTCCACCATTTTGTAAATAAATACGAAAAATTTTCAAGATATCAATTAAAAAAGCTTCCAGATCTGGTCATCTATAATCATTAATAACTCGATAACTATTGCAATTTTTGTAAAATGGTACGTGATTTTTCTTCTCAGTTCGATCCGATTAATCTTTACAGTTTTTCATTCCCAAAACATCCCGAATATACCCTCTATATATATACAGAGTGTATAAAAAGTACCAACACGGCAAAATATATCGAAAACTAAGCATTTTAGAAAAAAATGTTTCAGACAAAAGTTGTTAAAATTGATTGGTAGAAAAAAATGATGTAATAAAAAACTGGAGTTTCCATTTAAGGAAAGTAACGATCAGTGAATATCTCGAAAGTGGCGCCACCTGTGAATAAAATAATATAGTTCTTTTTTTATATCCCCCTTGAAACCATACAACTTTTGTTCGAAACATTTCTTTCTGAAGTGTTTAGTTTTCGAGATATTTCGTTGTCCTGGTACTTTTTATACACTCTGTATATAATATATATATATATATATATATATAAATATCGCGTCTGACAGATCGGCGAAATTTCTCGTGGGAAACGGCGCGCCGTCAAGTTTTTCCGCCGCAAGATGTAAATGCAATTCAACACGGTGTAGTTTACATTTTACGTAATGCATACGAAATCGCATTATGCAGTATGTATCGTAAAAATGCGGAAATGGGTGTAGCGGAGTGGCTCTCTCGACGAGTCCTCGCGGTGAGGACACGATTATGCTGCAATTTGTGTTTCTCCAGTTCCACGCTTAACATATCGGTAACAACGTCCGGAAGGGAAGCCGCATTTCTCTCGGCGCGGAGTCGTCTTCAGAGTCGGACTCGAGGAGAATCACCTTTCTCCATTTTGGCCCGATGTTTGACATCCACCATTTGCCGAGATCCTACAAACCGTACCGCGCTTTTCCCCATCGAGATGCTTTTCAACGGTTCAAGCAACGGCGGCACCGAGCTCATCAAGAATGCAACTTGATGCCGGAGGAGATTCCTAAATCGCGATATTCCAAATCACGAGAAAGCTCCTTGTTGCATGTCCCGCATCGAGCCGGCTGATTTTCCAAAGCGGACGATGTCGTTAACGTTCCTAATAGACAACACGCGCTCGACTTTTGACGCGCGGGATCTCTATCAATCCGACGGGATTAGGAATGTCCGTTGCCGGCCTGACGGCTTAATGACAGCCCTCCGCGTCTTAATCCTTCGCGCAGCATTTCCGATTACACGGAACGTGTAATTACGTGAGTCGAAGGTCGCTGGCCACGCGAGGCGTGGCCGGCGGCCGTTAAATAAATTACAATAGCGGTCGATTCTTCATTTTCAACGCGGGACTTTTCCCCGGTGAACGACCAGACGTTCTTTGTCATGCCAGACGCGAGCTGCGTCGTCTTTCCATTCGCGCGCGGCTGCTCGATGCCGCCGCCGCCGCCGCCGCCGCGCGTGTGCGTGAAGCAGAAAGAAAAAGCGAGACGGCGGCGGTCGAGGCTTCTGTTGAATCGATAAGTATATGATTCATCGCGGTTTCGGCTTGAATTTCAAGCAACGAGACGGAGCGGGAGTCGCCCGCCCGCGACGGGAGGGCTCTTCAGACGCTTTCAGGAAACTCGGCGAGACTTGGCGGGAAGGGGGGAGGGAGGTGTCTTAAAAACGGGCGCGAAATATCGCAGGTGAAAAAGCATCTGTCTAAAAGTGAGACTAATTCTCTCCGTAGTGCACTTGAAACTGAAATTCCTCCTCTTCTCTCTCTCTCTCTCTCTCTCTCTCTCTCTCTCTCTCTCTCTCTCTCTCTCGCTCAAGGTATGCGACCTCGAAACTCGAGGAGCGGAATATCCTGCGCAAGTGGTATATCCCGTGTCCTCGTTGCTGGACGGTCGCGACGGTAGGTGATAGGTGGTTCGAGGGGTCACACTCGGCGACAATATGTACGAGCGGTATTAACGCGTTAATCCTCAACCGGGAGAACCTCAAGTACAAGTTTCACGAGAGGAGGGGAGGGGGTAGGGTTTCGGCAACCGGGGCTGGGATCGCACGAATTCTATTACGTCGTTCGCGACGTAGCACCGAAATATATTCCGGCTAGTTTTAGTCGCCGGTAAAACGGTAACTCTCTCCCTCTCTCTCTCTCTCTCTCTCTCTCTCTCGGCGGAACGTGCTCTTTATTTCTCTCTCCCTCTCCCCCTCTCTTCCCCCGCCTGCCTCGCGTCCTTGCAAATTTATTTCCCGCTCGTAAAAATAAGCGAGGGCCGCGAGGACACGCTCTCGCGGTCCGCGGGAAATATCGCGAGAAATCACGGGACTGAATATTCAATTGCGCCGAGACATAATGACTGATAAAATAGAAATAAGCGCGCTGAAACATATTTACATTTGAAACAAGCCTCGAATTAATTTTAAAACTTTAACTCGCGCGCGGCTGCATCTGCGCGCGTGCGGCGAGATACGGTCTCGCGCATTTAAAACGCAGTGCTGCACAGCGCGTTTTGAATATTAATGAGCCACTTTACACGTTTACGTTTAAAGCGCGTCCGCGCGCGCGCGCGCGCGCGCGCAGAAGAGGAGACGAGTGGCGAGTTCGAGTTCGAGAGCCTAGCTTTGTTATTCCTGACACTTAGCCCCTTTCGAACACGAAACCCATTTTTTCGCTCGACGCTTAGAGCGCGAAGAGCGAACGGCGCGGCGAGCGGGAGGAGGCGCACACGGCTCGTTACTTCAGCGCCCTTTGTCTTCCCTTACGGGGAACCCGTTCCGCGCGCCTTCGCGCGCATACCTGGTGAGCGGTAAAACGCGGGCGTGGGAAGGCGAGAGGGCTCGGCCGAGTGGCCGAACGCCGAACGCCGAACGCGCCGCTAATTGCAGGTGTGTTGCCGCACGCTCCGGCCTCGAAGTCCCGTGATTATGCCATTTAGGCAGATATTCGTGATTACGGTGATTTTCGGGGGCGCTCCGACGCACCCCGGAGGGAGAGGTGCTGTGTGCATCGCCTTCCTCTTGTCTTTTCCTCTCCTTCCTCTTCGGCCTGCTTAGGCGAGAGGCACGAGACGAGACCCTTGTCGCCCGAGATCGGATTAGAGAGGAGCATCCGCTAATCGGCGGTTTGCCGGCGAGAATTCGTTCTAATTGCCGACCGGCCGGTGATTTACCGTCGACCGGTGCGCGGCTCGCTCGCACCGGTGAGCAACGAGAGAGTCCCGAGATGATTTCTCTCCCCCCACGTGACGCGCTGCTTGTTGTCGCGGAGAATTGAATGTCGATATTCGGCGAAAATTTCCACGAAGTAAGTGAAAGAATGCAACGTTTACGTTTCTCTTTTTGTTCGCCCTCGGCCAGCCCCCGGGGAGAATTTCCCCGGAGCGCGTGGAGTTTTCAATTGCAAGACCTCTGCCTCCAAAATCTCCATCGCACCGTGATGATAAAAAGACATTGGGTGCGTTCACGAAGCTCAACAGTTGCACAACAGTTGAGCATCCGATGAGTGAGCGATGAGTGAGCAGTAGAAATGTATACTGAACGCAACTGATCAGAGTTCTGCGCGAGTTTGTTGCGCGGAAGAAATGTCAGATAAACGTACTAAATATTACGGCCCGTCTACACGCTTATGTGTCTTGTAATTATTAAATATTTTTATAAATATAATTCATATGTGTCTGTTACAATGTATTCTACACCATCCTTGACATTCCCCGCTATACAGGGTGGTTGATTATAAGTTGCCAACCCGAAATGTGAAGGTAGATCGGGTTAAGATAAACATAAAAGTCCCATACCGTTTTGCGAGATTCGCAATAATTATCGAGTTATTAATGACAGAAATCTGAGGAATGGGAGCGCGCTGACATAGATAATTGGAGAAGCGTTGCAGCTGCTTAGGCCGCAGCGCGGCCCAATTGATCCGGCAACTGTTGCCGGTGCGCGGAGAGGGGAAAGACAATGCGCTGCTATTCGTTGTTTTATCTCGCCGGACCTACGTCTCGCCGCACGCCGCCAACAGTTGCTGGGTCGAGTGGGCCGCGCTGTGGCCTGAGTAGCTGCAACGCTTCTCCAATCATCTATGTCGGCGCGCTCCCATTCCTCAGATTTCTGTCATTAATAACTCGATAATTATTGCGAATCTCGCAAAACGGTATGGGACTTTTATGTTTATCTTAACCCGATCTACCTTCACATTTCGGGTTGGCAACTTATAATCAACTACCCTGTATACAGGGTGCAAAATTTCAAACGTAACAGGTAAAAAATCTCGAAAACTATGAAAGATATTAAAAAAAGCTGAAACAGGTGTTCCATGATTTCGAAGGGGAAAGAGAATGGCATTATCAGTCTTTTATTTGGAGGGCATTTTCAAGGTCAGTTGAAGGTCAACTTAATTTTTTTAAAGCTTTTTAGAAAGCTCAATTTTTTATTATATCCTCTTTTTCTACCAATTAATTTTAACAACTTTTGTCTGAAACATTTTTTTATTTGTCTAATATTTGTTGAAATATTTAAGGAAAACTTAGTAACTTTTTCAATATTTAACTTACGATATCTCGCTAACTATTCGTCGAAAGAAAAAATAGTATTAGACTTTTTTACTTTGTTTGCTATCAAAAATATATTACTGTAATAGTGCTCTAACTTTTGTTAACTTATCGACCTTTGGAAATTTCAAAATTATTAAAATCACAAAAGTTAGGGCACTATTCTTGATATATTCTTGATAGTAAATAAAGTAAAAAGATCTAATAATATTTTTTCTTTCGATGAATAGTTAGCGAGATATTGTAAGTTAAATGTTGAAAAAGTTACCAAGTTTTCCTTAAATATTTCAAATATATTTCAAATATTTCAAAAAATATTAGGCAAGTAAAAAAATGTTTCAGACAAAAGTTGTTAAAATTAATTAGTAGGGAAAGAAGATAGAATAAAATAAATTGAGCTTTCTATTTTAAAAAATTAAGTTGATTCCTTCAACTGATCTTGAAAATGCCCTCCAAATAAAAAACTGATAATGCCATTCTCTTTCCCCTTCGAAATCACGGAACACGTGTTTTAGCTTTTTAGTTTTAGTTTTTAATATCTTTCATAGTTTCCGAGATTTTTTATCTGTTACGTTTGAAATTTAGCACCCTATATATTTGAATTTATATGACTATTTTCTTTGTTATTTTCTTTGTTCATGGGCTGCGCCATGTTGGATCGGAGACTGATCAGTAAAGGTAGCGACGAATATTTGAAAGATGAGAAAAATGGCGACCGCTCACTCAACATGTTGCGAGTGAGCGCATCGCTCAGTAGCGTTCAGGACGAAATCACTCAACAGTTGCACAACCGTTGAGTGTCGTGAACGCACCCGTTGGTTCCTAAAGTCCTTTCGTCGTTCACGGCGAATTTCACGGTCCGCCTCGGGGACCGAGCTTCCAAGTTGCCAAGTATATTTTTCAAGTCTCCTTCTCGAGCGAGAGCATCTTAATTCCTCTTGAAAGCTGCGCGAACAAGATAAACGGGGCGACGCGACGAGACAGAGCCGAAGAGGAACGTGACCGTTTCCTTCGAGCGCACGCGAGTAAAGAAAAAACCCTTCTCAGTAAATCCACGCCACAGATTAGGCATCGATCTCACGAGATTTGTAACGATAACACAAACACAAACAGGTTTCCGAAAGAAAGACCCTGATCTGCGGCTCGAACGGGCGGCCGTGGCCGAAAGGAAGATCCTGGAATTCCATAAACGGACTCCGGCATTATGCAGGCGCGGTCATAAGCGTCAGGCTGTGTCATAACTGGCGAGTCAATAAGTCGAAGGATCGTAAATCACCGGCGCGTTGTGGTCGCACGCTTTCGAGAGGATCTTTGAGGCTCCGTTTGCTTTGGGAAAAACGGAAGGTACACACACACACACACACACACACACATACACGCGCGCGGATAAACGTCCCGCGGAAAGTCAGCCCCGGGCGTCGTGGGGCGTGGAATTTGAAAAATCTTTACGACGAGCCAAACAAGAAAGGAGCTTGTCACCGGGCGCCCGGTACTTGCGCCGGACACTTTCCAAGTCGGCGGGCGAGTCGGGGGATATACTTCAGACGTGGAAAAGGTTAGATTTCACCGTTGTTTTCTCTCTGTGTAGTCGATATCACGCGCCGCTGAAGTACCACGGAAAATGTCGCCGCAAGGCGCCCTTTTCTTTCCTCGAGTACGCTCAGCGGTGCGGTAAAGGACAACTGAAACCGCCGAGGGATGTCCTCCGCCGCAAATTCGCGCGCGCGCGCGCGTCGCCATTGACCCCGACATGGAGATCGCCGACTTGTTTTTTTGCGCGTTTTCTTGCCTCAGCCTTGCGAACTCCGCCTTCCGCGCGGCGAAAACCTCCCGCGCGTAAATTCTCCCTCTCGCGTCGCTCTCGCCCTATAAATTTCGATTTGAAATAAAAAAGGGGAGAAAGAAAGGAAAGAGATCGCGTGTGTGTGGTGTCTTCGGATATGATTTCATTCAACGGCTCTCGCGATGCCGCAGGAAAATCGCTCGTTCTACTGATTCTTCAATTATTTTTCCGGACACCGGAGTGGTTTGAAAATTCTCTCTCGCCCCAGTGATAAAAGTTACCGCGCCGCCGCGCCGGGGCGCGCGTTATTTTATGTTACGATAGTTTTAAATTAAATTTTTAATTAATTTACCTATCCCGGCGTAAGTTTGAAGAACTCGAGGAGAGCCGGTTTATCGAGCCGAACGCGCAGACCCTCTCCGCGGCCCGATCCGCGGCGACTAAATTTTGAGAATCGTTCGGCTTGTTAGTCAAGTTTGGCCTCGAGGCCGCTCCAACAAGTCCGCGCTTTTATTTTCAACTTTTATTTCACGAGAGCTGGCCGCGTTTTCTCACGCGAAACACGCGAGTATCCTTCGAGCTATCAACGTTGCTTCGTCGAGATAAAGCTAAGAGGGATAGCGTGAAAAGTTTGCCAGAAAGGAACGTTATTCCTTCCTCCCCCCCCTCCTCACTCTCTCTCTCTCCCTCCCTCCCTCCCTCCCTCCCTCTCCGTCTTTCGAGAGATCTTTAAAAAACTCCCACAATGAAACGAACGCACGCGAGCGATATCCTCGTCCGAGGGATGACCTCCCCCCTCGCAGTGGTCCTGCTGATTACAACGTGTGTACCCTCGTCAAAAGTGTCATCAGTTGTCCCTGACTAAGCCTTCCTTCGACGAGCCGGTGCAAACATCGGCCACATTATCGCGGGACACACCCCACCGGGATACTTTCGGAGCGGCGAGTCGCGCCGCACGGCACGAGAAGGAACTTCGCGTTGGTGTTTTTCTTCCCTAGGGGGCGAACACCAACACAGGCGATACACACAGACACTCGTTTAAGTCGAGCCGCCGTCTCTCTCCGCCGGGATAGATACTCTTTGGCAATCGCGCCCGGCATTATTAAAGCGCCGGAGAGTTTCGCGTTCGCGTCCGCACGCAGCTAGCAAATCGATCCTTCGGGGAGATACGGCGGGGAGAGGCGGGACGGGGATAGCTACGAAAATAGCTTCTTTCATTTTCGTGACGCGAATAGCTGACCAGATAAGAAAAAAGGCAGTTTTCTCGGGTCAATATTCCGTCTACTTAATTAAAGTAACGGCGAGCGCGGAGAGCTTCCGATGGCCGAGATGAAAGGGAAAATGTGTACCATCGGCTGTAGCGGCGCGCGCAACTATCGCCCGCCGATTCTTTTGACGCGCGATCCGCGCTTGATCATTTTCTCGGTCAAATGATGGGGACCTTAATACAGAGTTTTCTCCTTCTCAGCCGCGAGCAATTAAATGTAACGAGGGTTTAGGAAATTGAATCTCGACGGTGTTACAACGTGACTCGTCCATGCTCCTCTCCGCCCTCCCCCCCCTCCCCCCACTCTCTCGATTATACCTCCGAGTGCTTCACAAAGCACTCGAGCCGAGTCGTCGAAATATTTGGTCGCGAAATTTACGCGGATTGCCAAGGAAAACTGCGTTACTCGCGAATTTTCGGCTCGTAAAGAGCGTCTCGCGATTCTAAATTGGCCAAAATATTCCGTCCCGGCGGAGAGGAAAGGGGAAAGCCGTTCCCCCGCTGCGCTCCTCCACCCTCTTTCCCCTCAGTAAATCAGACTTAACGATCCCTGCTTGCGCGGACTCACTTGGTATATTGTAGAAGTTACCGGATGGGGTGCGTACGAGACAGGATGGCTCGAGATCGGGATCGCGCTCGTGATCGCTCGCTGCGTGACTTCCTGGCAGTCTTCCGTTGAGCCGGCTCATTGCGGGGTTACGGGGTGGCACATCAGGCGGGCCCCGCGGTGCCGAACTGTCCAACAAACACCCTGCAACAATAACGGGGAAGGTATGTTTAGTTTAATCGCACCTCGTCGATCGTCGGGCGCTGTCAACGGGGTGTCGCGTTTTGCACTCCGAGAGGTAAAACGAGTCGAGACGAGTTTTTAGGAAAGTTCAAGGATAAGGTTAGCGCAGAAACGCAGGTTTTCATCATGTTGCATTCTGATTTTTCTTTTTTTTTTTTAATCAAAAGCATGTTGGTAGATCAGATCAAAATTACATCGCTTTGAGTACGCGTTCGTATAACGAGAGAGAAAATACTTGGATAATAATAAGAAATTCTTATGATTTTCGCTACTTGAATCTTCACTTCTTCTTCTTCTTCTTCTTCTTCTTTCTTCTTCTTCTTCTTCTTCTTCTTCTTCTTCTTTCTTCTTCTTCTTCTTCTTCTTCTTTTGCTGGTTATCTCCGTTTCTTGTTTTCTTTACTTTCTTGGAATTTTAGCTCCGAAATAACTCATTAAAAATAAAATAAAACTTTGACATTTTCTTGCATGGCTGCGCTTTTGAGACCGGTAAATAAAGATTTTGTTTACATTTCGGAGTCGGAGATATTAAGATTAGTGCTCTCTTTAGTTTGTCGCCTTGTTACAAGCAACAGCTTGCACCTTATTTTCTCGAAAATTTTAATTTCTCTATCAATTTCTATTCTCGTCAATAAAATAAAAACCGATATTGAGAGATCGATCGGTTGGCCTGCCGAGAAATCGATGCAGTACGGTAAAGCGTCGTCAAGGATAAAATAATACTTTGACATTTTCTCGTACGACTGCACTGCCGATATCATTAAATAAAGATTTTGTTTACATTTATGTCCAATTTCTTCACCTCTAGTTGTAAGTTGCCGATAACTTTATCCATGAGATACCTGCCAGAATCGGTTTTCTTCACCTTTGTAAAAGTTGTATTCGGCGGATAAACTTATCCGGTACTTGAAGTAGCGGATATCTGGCAGATATTGATTTCAGTGCCCTGACATAGCCTAAAAATTACAATAATACGTATTGCTGTTGCTGTTTTTGTGAAAACACAACAGGGATTTGTATAACTCCTGAATATTAATATTTTTGAATCTGATGATGATGACGATGAGGAATTTGTGGGAAGAAGACCCTATATAATAAGAAATAAACCGAACAATTTTCAAATGTGAGATGACACAGAATTTTTCGGACGATTTTGTTTGAAAAAATACAGTGCTCGAATTACTACGTGCAACTGAAGACTGATTGTTAATACTGCGGAAATTACTTTAATTAGTTAAAACTAGCCCGGAAAAGAATATGCTGCTGACAGAATATGGTGATTTATAGTAAATTTCTAGTACATTTTGCGCGTCAAAAGCTAGTAGTATGAAGAATAGCTATCTGTTAGATACGTAATCAGAGATTTTAGTAAAGAAAACGAATTTTTAGTTACCTGACGGATATCTTTATCTGGAAGATAGCTATCGGGAGGTGTGAAGAAATCGGGCATTAGTCGGAGATAAGATTAGTGCTCTCTTTAGTTTGTTGCCTCGTTACACGTTATAAGCAACCCTTGTTGCAATACCTTGTTTTCTCGAAAAGTCTATCATTTCTCGATCAACTTTTATTTTGTCAATAATAAAATTGAAATCAATGTTGAGAGATCGATCCCCGGCCGGGGAAGCGACGCAGAACGGTAAAGGTTCGTCGGGAATAAAATGGAACTTTGACATTTTCTCGCATGGCTGCACTGTCGATATCATAAAATAAAGATTTTGTTTACATTTAGTCGGAAATATTAAGATTATGTACTCTCTTTAGTTCGTTGCAAGCAACACCCCGCACTCATCTCTTCCCCGCTTATTTTCCCGAAAGGTCTATCATTTCTCGATCAACTTCTATTCTCGTCAGTAAAGTAGAAACCGAAAAATCAATGCTGAGAGATCGATCGGTCGGCCGAGCGGAGAATCGACGCAGAACGGTAAAGGTTCGTCGAGAATACGGGCTCTTGGAAAGTGGGCCGTTTAAAAGCAGAGTCGGTAAGAAAAGCGCCGAAGTGACACGTCGGCGCGAGGATTCTCCTACATTTAGAGCGGGCTGGTGGTCTCAAGGCTTATAATGCTCGCGCTAGTAATCCAGGACAGGTGGCCGCGGCCTGGGTTTTCATCTGGCGAAGGGTTGAGCCGATCTCACGATTAGGCACGGTTCACACGCGGCGGCCATCATCGCGGCCATCGGGGGTGGGATGGATGTTGGATGTCGGCCGAGGACCGTCGCGCTTACATCCGCCAGCGATCTGGGATTTCTTTCTTCTTCTTCTTCCTTTTTCTTTTTTTTCTGTCGAACCAAAGCCGACCGAAGTTCGCTCCTGGCGCGGATGCGCGGCAATGACGCGGATTTACCGGTGTGTGTCGCGGATTGGAAAGATCGTCGCGAGATATTAAAAACCAGGAGAGCCCCCCTCCCCCCTCCCGCCCCCGGTGCGATCCGGATATTCGCTACGTTACGGGCCGTTGTGCTATTTATTACCGCGTAGTTCCTGCGGAAACGCGCCGCCGGATTGAAATATCACCAGGAGGCCCTTCGGCCGCGAGCGCCTCCTTCGGCCCCGCGAGTTGCCCCCGCGAGTTTGCTTCCGCGCCGATATCGTTCGTCGCTACCGTTCGTTCGGGCGTCCCGGCATTGTGTATCGGCGGCCAGGTTGTGAAAAGCGAGCGAAAGGACCCGGGCATGGGAGTCGGCGAGAAACTCGAGCCGCTTCTTCTGCATCGAGTGCTGGCCAATGAGGCGGATTCCGCCATAGTCTTTTTCTGCCGGTCGTAACGAACGGTCGTCTGATATCTTATTGGACGATAAAGGGCGCAACAGGAGGCGGCGCGAGCGGAAGAGAGCGGAAAAGGCGGGCGAGGGCACGGCGGCGCTGGGAGATGAAGGAAGAGGGCGAGAGGAGATAAAAAAAGAAGAAGTTTTATCCCGTGTGCGACGACAAAAGACTTTCTCAATCTCGTCTAATCGCGCGCTCCTCCTCACCCCCTCGCCCCCCGCCGACCCCTTCTCGCCGTAGCTACCAACTTCGATTCGTGCTTCGCTTACGCGAGATCTCCCGCCCGATCTCTCCGTCCTGCGTCCCTCGACTTGCTTCTCAACCAAGAGCACTCGACCCTTTTACGACCGAACTTTCCTCAGTTTCGACATTTCGCCTCCGTCCCCGCTGCCGCCTTCCGAAAGGAAAGCGCCATTTGGCATTACTACCAATGTGCCGGCGCATCGGTCCATCGACAGAGAGCCGGAGACACGCAAACTGGCATAACGCCCCCGACATGAGGGTGCCTCTGTTGCTTTTTCCTCCCCTCCTCCCCCATCTCTCTCTCTCTCTCTCTCTCTCTCTCTCTCTCTCTCTCGCGCGCGATTTCGCAAAATCGAAAGACACCGCCGAACAAAGCGGCCCGGCGCGCCGGGGAGACCTCTCCCCTCCGCTCCCCCCGGTCAACGGCACGCAGACGAGTAATATTAATGGCACGCGCGCGCGCGCGCGAGTGAGAACTGTGATTATTGCCTCGTATAATTGGCGAACAAATTAATATATTGGCGTAATTAATAATAATCATATTCTCTCGTAATTCCGACTGTGAAATTCTTTTATTGCAGCCGATGTATCCGCGCCGATTAAACACGAATCCTTATATATTGATATTTCCCACAACGGCGGCGGCTATTAAAATTTTAATTAATGCAACCAGCCCCTTTCCACCCTCCTCTCTCTCTCTCTCTCTCAAGCCCGCAAGAAACGCGATATGAAATGTCGGCGATGCGTATGCGTTGCGAGTTGCGCGCCGAGACACTTTTACGCTCAAGTCGCGGAAATGAGACGCCACCCTCCCTGGCGAGATTTCCCCCGGCTTGCTGGAAGAAACGAGCCTGCGAGAGAAAGTGACTCCGGCTAATAGAAATCGATTGCACAGGGAGGAACGGGGACAAGGGGCGCAGCGTGGAATCACGAGCGCGACGCGCCTTGTCGATCGCTCGTATGCGCGCTGAAACTTGTTAACCCCGGAATATCCGCTCGTTAGACGAAGCGCGCTCGCGCAACTCGACAGCGGCAGCAGCAGCAGCAGTAGCGCGGTCTATTCATCCTTGCAGAACCATCGAGACGGAAGAGTCTGCGGCACGTCGTTATTCTTGCTAATAGATCGGCGGGAGTGGGTATTGTCCCGACAGTTACTTGAAGGATCTCGCCGTCATCGCGCTCCTTTTCTCGCCGTTTTAACAGCTCGAGCGTGGAAAGAAGCAGCGAGCGGGACTTCTCTCCTCGTCGTCTTTGCCGTCGCCTCTCTCTCTCTCTCTCTCTCTCTCCCTCCCGCTGGCGAGGAGAATAAATAAAAACACACCGGCGGGGCGAAGGAGGGCAGCCGGGAGGGTTGGAGCACCGACAAAAGACAGGGCCGAGAGAGAGAGAGAGAGAGAGAGAGAGAGAGAGAGAGAGAGAGCGATTTCGCGTAGCGCTATCCGGTATCCAGGATGAGCATCGCGGCGACAAAAGATGCGCGCACGCGGGTAGGAAGAAGGCATCCGTGAATCGAATTATGCTCGGCTGGTTTGCGCGCACTGGGTCCTCCTCCTTCTCGCGAGGGGAGCCGAGACCACGGCTTTACGGAGGGGCCTCCAAAGAACGTCGCTCGCAGGAGGAGCCCGGCTGAATGAGTCCTGACCTCGAAGGACCGTTGTCGCGCGCACACCGGGCCGCGTGTAATGGATGCGCGCCCATTGAGAGCGCACGTCAAAACGCGTAACATAATATCGGGGCCCTTGCGCGCAAGAGCCCATGCCTAATGGAATTTATTAGAGAAGGTACTTCCTTCTTTCACCGTGAGTCCAGGTACACAACACGGCCGCGTCCGCCGCGCTACGCCGCGCCGCGCGCGGAATCAAGAGGTCCTCCTCTCCGGGCCGTCGGATTGCCTTCGGATCATCCCGGAGGTGTTTTCCCTTTTTCTCTCGACCGAGCACGGAAAAGCTAACTGC